TTGACGGCAGCAGAACCGCCCGGCCAATAGAAAACAGTTGGGCGGAGCTAGCTGTCACTGCTAGCTCCGCACAATCGTTTTCTATTTTTTTTTTCTTCTACTTTTTCAACTATTTTTCTGTTCTGCTCAGTCCCACTGAGGGACCGAGCAGAACAGCCGAGCCGAATGCCGCTCAGCGGGATTTGGCTATTCACTCACTGCTGTTTGGCATCTATAAGAATAGACAGAATAGCAGCGAGTAGCCTACCGGAGGTTTACGGCTGATTTCAGCCGATATACAGCTGAAATCAGCCGTACCAGCCTGAAGTGAATAGCCGAACAGCGTTCGGCTCACTTCGCTTGGGGTCGGTGAGTCACTCGGCTGCTTAGTGAATAGACCCCATAGTTCATAATAATAATAATTATTATTACTGTTAATATTAATTATTAATACTTTAAAAAGTAAAATACATAAAAATTAAAAGCAACCCTGACATCCCAGCCATGCAAATGCAAACATGTGCGTAGAGCATGCACGTGTATGTAAACAGCTGCAATTCGTTGTCAACTCTAAACTGATGAGCAGTAAAGGCTTTTAAAGCGTGGCCTTGGGACAATTTTGGGTACCATAGTTGTTCACCATTGCATGGGTCTGCGTAATTTTAGGGCTTCACATATTTGCTATCTGTTTACTCGATGTGACCCCATTTTTTATTCTTTTATATTAAAAAATTGTATTACATTATGTGCACTAAAATTCACTTCAATTTATTTTTTCCTAATAACATGGATTTAAAAAATATTTGCACAAATATCATGTGACATAAAATTATGCAACATGAAAAAAATAACTACCTTTTTTATTTCTACAGGGCCTCTGCTTTCAGAAAATATATCACTTTTTGGAAAGTTCTATCGAAAAATTCAGATTTTAAACACGCATGAAAAATGAAAAAAAAAAATAGCTCCAGTCCTGAGGCGGTAAAGGAGAACTACGAGTGTTTTTCACTCATCCTCATAGTTAGAGCCGATCTTTGACAAATAAGCTGTCACAGGTCGGCTCTATTGATCGGGAAGTGAGCAGAAATGTGCACCGATCCGCTCACTTCCCGATCGTCTCCCTGCTGTGAGCGGTGACTGTCAGCCACCGCTCCCCGCAGGGATTCCCTCCTCCCCTGTCCGATCCTCCAGTGATGAGAGGAGGAACGAACGTGGGAGGGGACAGGCATAGCTGGCTCTGCCTCTAGATAGGCAGAAGCAGCTGTCACTCACGCAGCTGGGGGGGATCTCGACAGTATTGTCGGGATCTATCCTGGCTGCGGCGCTCTCAGTATATAGCAGTCAATAGCCCGCGATATACTGAGCTTTGGGTCACGGCCGGGAGGACGCTAGTATATGTCCTCCCGTGACCCTAAAGAGAACTATGGGGAAAAACACTTACCCCATAGTTCTCCTTTAAAGAAAGTCAGAACTTTGCTTCAAAAAGGTCAGTACTATGGGGTCTATTCACAAAGCTGCCGAAGGATCTGGCCGTAGCTTCGGCCGATCCTTCGGCTAGCTTCGGCCCCAGGACCCCTTCGGTTCAGGAGAACCGAGGGGGTGCTGTACGGGCTATTCACAATAGCCCGTACAGCTCCCGATCACGGCCGAGCTGGTCATGCCGAACAGTGTTTGGCTCACTTCACTTCTGATCGGTCATTCACTCGGCTGCCCTTGGCAGCATAGTGAATAGACCCCTATGTTATTATTACAATTATCAGCAATACAGACATTTCCAATCACAGACTTTGCCATTATTAAGGATTCCACACTTACAATTTCTACTCAAAGTACCCATTTTATTCAGCATACATTTATATATTAGAATCTTTAAGACAGTTATACAAAAAGTCCTTGATATTTACAATAATGCCAAATAGTGATCTAGTACATATACCAATCCGAGAATGACTTTTCACAAAAATTGACTTGTACCTGAAGGATTTATTTTCCGAGAACTATTATTGGGGGTGAATGTGCTGTGTTAATGCCACAAAGATACACAATTATTATTATTAATATCATTATTATTAGCCCAGTTTGTAGCTGGGAATATTGTGCTGCTGAGATTCTGGAGATGTGGTTTGGGCACTTTTTGTCACTTTAGGGAAACAGATGGAACAGTGCAATGAATGGTAAAGAAGACTTGACATTAAACCTGAACTCCAGGCATATAGAAAAGACACAACTTAAAGGCGTAGTCCAGCTTTTGGGAAAAAGTAATGCATGCATGCCCATTGATAAAGAGAAAAAGGTGCATTTATTATTTGTTTTTGCATTTGAACCAGAAAAGGCATTACAATCAGGGCTTGTTCACATCAAATCCGGACCAGATCTGCATGAGTTCCTGCATATGCAGTCCAGTGCATTTTTGACGCTTTTCTGATGCATTTTTTATGCGTTTCGGTCCATTTTTTTAAAGCCTAAAATGGTCTTTCAGGTGTAGTCTAGTGCATTCTCGGGCGTTTGCATGCGCTTTTGATGCATTTGCATGCGTTTTGGTGCGTTCCAGAGCAGAAAAAATAGGGCATGCTGCAGTTTTTACACATGTTCTGGAACTGCACGCTGTGGTGTGAACTAGAGCCCAAAATACCATTGGAATACATTGGATGCATTTTTGATGCGTTCTATAACTGCTCCGCACTTGGTGTGAACAAGCCCTCAGGGGATGGCGGGTGTGATGCTCTGGCTCCAGCAAACTCTTCCTTCAGTCCATACCTGTACCTCAGTACGGACTTTCAGCTAAGGGACAAGAGGAATTATGAATGGACGTGGTGGCATCACCGCACTTGTATTCCATTGAGAAGTATAAGTCTCCCCTGCTGCGGTGGCAGACAGGACTTATAGTCTCTCCATTCATAGATCCTGTCAATGGATGACATGGCTTTGCAGACGGAGACACAAATTCAAATAATGGCATATGCCTGTGGGGAGAATAACCCGGAGATTGAGGTAAGTAGGGGAAGGGACCATGCTTCATGTTATATCCTAATTATGGGTGTACCATGAAACATGGTCTCTAAGGTGACCCGAACCGTTAATGCAGCTTTATATTCATCACGTGTTTTATGTGACTAGTTTAAATACCCGAATATGACTAAGTGTCAGCCTTCTGAAATCCCCTGAAAAGCATTACTCAGGCTGGAAGAGAAAGAGGCAACACTAGGACTCAATAATGTGTGCACTATGCACATGTGCTAATTAAGAACATGCTGATAGAAGAGCAGAGTGGGCAGCGGAATGACCTGAGCACTTTTAAATGCCCAACACAAGAAATCCCATGATTTTCAATGGTCCTGGTTCACACCAGAGGAGAAAAACGCCAACAGGAAAACGCCAAACACCCGAAGAGGTACAGGAGCTTCTTTGGGCTTTTAAAAGCACTTTTTTACATCATAGACTTCATTGGAAATGCCCAAAAACGTGCGGCAGAAGCATGTTGCACATTTTCGTCAGCATTTTTGTGCGTTTAAATGCACGTTCTTTCATTGCCCGCAATGTTTTATGAGCTGCCAGTCAAAACCCGCGTTAAAACGCACATTAAAAATGTGCACAGCGTGCATAAACGCGCAAATAAACGCATGTTGCTGACGCGTGTAGAAACGCACAAAAACGGTGCCGCTTAGGTGTGACTCAGGCCTCAGACTAGTAAGGGAAGAGTATAGAGAACACTGTATCAGAGCTGACACATTGTAAACCGTCTAGTGGCCTGCTTTTTTCCTAGGATTATGGGCGTCGTTCTCATTTACATAGATCTGAATGACACAAAGATCTGAATGACACATAGATCTGAATGATACATACTGTAGATCTGAATGACACATAGATCTGAATGACACATAGATCTGAATGATCCATAGATCTGTATGACACATAGATCTATGTATCATTCAGATCTATGGATCATTCAGATCTATGTGTCATTCAGATCTATGTGTCATACAGATCTATGTATCATTCAGATCTATGGATCATTCAGATCTATGGATCATTCAGATCTATGTGTCATTCAGATCTATGTGTCATACAGATCTATGGATCATTCAGATCTATGTGTCATTCAGATCTATGTGTCATACAGATCTATGTATCATTCAGATCTATGTGTCATTCAGATCTACAGTATGTATCATTCAGATCTATGTGTCATTCAGATCTGTATGACACATAGATCTGAATGACACATAGATCTGAATGATCCATAGATCTGTATGACACATAGATCTGAATGATACATAGATCTGAATGATCCATAGATCTGTATGACACATAGATCTGAATGACACATAGATCTGAATGATCCATAGATCTGAATGATACATAGATCTGTATGACACATAGATCTGTATGACACATAGATCTAAATGATACATAGATCTGAATGATACATAGATCTGAATGATACATAAATCTGAATGATCCATGGTATGGTACAAGTCATTTAAGGGGACATTCCAGTTTTGCAGATACTGGGCCCAACTTACTTTCTGGCCGAGAGCCCGGTAGCTGAACAGTTTGGTTCCAGTGTTGCTCGGTATCATTTTGGAAGGGTGCATTGGCAAGCAGAGCATTGCAATATTCAGTTCCATACACTCTACTTAACCTGAGCTTTGGGAGATGAAGGCAGAGCCTATCGCCCCATAATTCTCTCTTAAGGGCCTTAAGGGCCTACAATGGATGAGTAATTTGTTTTTTTCTAAAAAGACAATATTATCAGATAAAATAGATGTAAAGTGATGTAAGAAAAAATGTGCAAGAAGAACTCTCAATGAGAAAAGCAAACAAGTGATGCGGTTAGTTGTTCTGGGCATCACGTACAGCATGACTTTTCACAGGCAATGGAGGACGAGGCTTAGACGCAGCAACTTCAGGCCGGGTGATGCTGCTTTGAGGGATGGCTGATAGAACGTTCTTAACTGCAGGTTTGTCAAGAACAGCAGGCTTCTTCTCTGAAGAGGAATAGGTCATAGATCGCTGACGGACGGCTGGGTTTTTACGAGGGGCAGGCTCAGGAGGTTTATAAGGCCGATTCTGAGCTGGTGGTGGAATAGAGCCAGTGTTGACTGGGCCATATAATGGATTATCAATCATTTCTGGTGCGTCAAATGAAGCCGGAGGACGACTGCGGAGAGATAAAAAAAATAATCCAAATGAGAATAAACCAAAAGACAAGAAGACCAATGACAACAAGTTCAGTGCTTGGCAGCAGTATTTATATCTTGGTCAATAGACATGGGCACCAGCAAAAAATTTGTTTCGTTCTGATTCAGATTTTGCTTTATTTAGTTTTTCAGAATTCGGGTCCGAAAGTCAATTCGTTTCAGAATTCGGATTCGGACGAAATTCGTTAGCAGTAATCCGTACGACATTTTGTTTTGTTTTCGTCTCGTTCGTTGCAGCAAAGTGACATTTAAGAGGAAAACAACGTTTTTTTGTTCTCAAATGTCACTTTGCTGCAACTAAATTTCGTCCAAAAAACGAAAGTTCGTCCAAAAAAACGAATGGGAAATTCGGATTCGTTATATCTGTAATTCGGAATTTGGATGCATACGAATCTCTGAATTTCCGAAATTTCGTCCGAATTTCCATTCGGAATGAAACTAATTGCACATGTCTATTTGTGCCGCCCCAATAGGGGCATAGAATATGAGATGCATAGCCTCAGTTAATATTAGCATTGTTATATAGGTTAGAATTTATATAGTGTGATTTGCCTAACTATTTTCTCATAGCTAAATTCATGTGTTATCCTATGCTGCCATCTAGTGGCCTTTTGTTGTAATGTACATGTTTTTCTGTAATTATTCCTCATGTGACAATGTATTTCCCCCTAGTGTACGCCCCTTCCTTCTTCCTGTGTGCAGTACTTCCTGTGTCATGGGCACAGTTGAAAGCCACATGTAACAAGGACACACATGTGATCTGCACAGTACGGAGGAAAGGCATCATTTTCTGACCGCACAATACTATAACCGTTCAACTGCTGTTCCTATCATCTGCTGTAACCTGATGTTAAAGAATAAACACCTCTTTTGAATGAATCGGTATTGACGAGTTCAGCTATCTGACGAGGATTGTCCGCAGTGAGTATATCTGCTTATACAGGCCAGGCATAGAGGTCTCAGCAAGGGATATATTTCGCTATCACAACGATCGGAGTCAGAATACTATTGGTCAATAAGTAAAACTGAGGGAACAAAGGCATATGACAAAAATGTACTGAATGCTAATAATACTCAACATTTCTGAAATTCAAAACTCCAATCCATGTCATAAATATCAAAATTAGAACTGATATGTGGACATGGCAAAAATGTAAATAAAGAAAAACACTGTGCAAGCTTTAGAAACCACTATAGTGCATTAAAGTCGACCTTGGATGAAAGAATGACTCTTACAGTACGATCTGCATTAGGGCCAATGAAAAGGTTTGTGACAACGGGCTTTGGTCCACGTCACAACTGCCCATACAAGTCAATGTGAATGCAAAAGCAGCTTGAAGAGGGTTGATGCAGCCAAGAATGTGATCAACTGCAGGTCATAAGGAGGTCAATGGCAGGGCAGAAGGGGGTCAAGGGCAGGTTAGAAGGAGGTCAAGTGCAAGTCAGAAGGACATCAAATGCACCTGTCAATGGACTGAAACATTGCAAACTGATCTTTAATCCAAGTAGAATGCTCCTCAAAGCAAGCTGCCAATCTGTTGACACAGAGTCCATTGACACAAGCTTTGACACACTCAAATGTAACGGAAATGAATTTGTTACAATTACATGTGTTCTGTTTGCCATGTAGTGTGCCTACTCTACACTACATGTGATTTTTCTCATTGCTAAGAATGAATCCTGTTGTTTTCCTGATATTTATGCCTTGCGATATGTGAGAATAGAAGTCTTCCTCCTCTTTTCCCTATCTCTGGTTGCATCACAGAGTTCTGTGTGTCTTAAAGCTGACCTTTACTCATATCTTTAAAATAACAACAAACACACCTTTAGAAATGTTTAGTAATGACAATCTGTAAACACATACTTGTAGATAATTGCCGGCTTTCTATTCTTTGCATATCTTATTTCTTTTATCTTCCCCAGTCTTCTGACAATGGCTATGTTTACTAAGGGCAGATCACTAGCTCTCCTATTACTTCCTGGATTTCTGGCACATGTGACTAGACATGTGACTAGGACATGTGACCATGCACATCATCTCAGGGGAGGAAAATGCCTTTCCGTGAGACCTGGTGAGATTACAGATGAGATTTCACAGTAATGCTCTGCTGATGACAAGGCAATCCCAGTGTGCATTGATTTGGCAAACTGAAGTAATTTTGCCCTATTAAAGCAGGAAGTGAATGCTCTGCAAGTGTATTTCAAAATCATAGCATTTTACACCGGGCATGTCTATGTTATTATTAATTATCATACATAGAGGGATGCATTGGTAGAATTTGATTTTTTAGTGTAAAGGTCCGCTTTAAGTCTCATGACTTCTGAGGCTGAGGAACTTTTTCCTTGAATAATGATTTAAAAATACAGACTGATGTAATAAGTTGTAAAGGAGGGATGTACTTACAATGACTCTGGCTGACGGGTACTTGGATGTCCTCGAGCATTGGGACAAGGTGCAAACTTTTGAGTTGATGAAGGAATACGAATAGGGGGAGTGACTGGTGTGTCACCACGACCCAGCACTGGAGAGCTAGGTTTGGCTCGCTGATCATTCACTTTGAATCCTGCCGGAGTGTCGGGAGGGCCCTGCTTCATCTGGTTAGCTAACACTTGATTTGGCACATTTTGATCTGTGCTGGAAACAGGAAGCATGAAGAAAACATAAATAGACAGAAAGCCTGAGACAGACATAACCAATTTTGATCTGAGAGGCTCAAGACTGAAGGACTCAAGACCTTTTGTCTTCGGAAACATTAGTTTTATTGTCCAATGGATAGTGGGGTTTAATCAACATTCACTTTTGGCCGTAGTGATGAGGAAAATCGAAGCAGCAGGTTGGAATTTATTTCTTGTCTCAACAAACAGACAATAACTAGAGATGTGATTTTTGTTTAGTAAAATCATACGTATTGTAATGCGCACGTGCTAAGCACAAGGAAAACGTGTGTTCAAGCTTTTGGTCTGCATGAAATTTGTAAAGGCTTTCGAAAAAATTAGTTGATGGCAAGATCGATCGATCTGGAGAATTATTTCAAACAAACGTTCAAGTGGAATTCTAACAGTGTCTGACAGCTTAACTCCAGAAAAAGTGACTGTGTTAAAAACATTTTTTTCTAATGTGCACCTGAAGCCGGGCAGTTGTTCCTCTGCTAAACATGGTCTGCTGTGCGTACATAACAAAATCCTGGCGTACAAAGGGCCATAAACAACTACAGGGCTCTGTGTTTGTTATTGTTATGGTCACAAAGGAGCTGGAAGACAGTCTAAGCATATGTTTAAAGTGACATTCTCAGGAATTAAATCCTAAAAATACATTCAAGTACCTTAATAATTAACAAAAATGTAACCTTTTTGTGTATCACTCGGCTGTAGATCCTCAAATCATCTCTGAATTGGTGCTGACACTGTCCTTCCTTCTGGAGGGTGGCTACCCCTGTTCCCCATGGTCCCTATGTGTGTTGTAAAGTAGCCACCCCTCCAAGCTCACTCACACCACTTTGGATGTCAGATAAAGCACACTTACTCTTTTTGCACACCTCCCCTGACCTAACAGATCCTACCCTCAGCTCCAGAAAGATGCATACTTATTGAGATCCGACACCCGTGGCGTCTTGTGCTTGTTGACATCCTGTGACACAAGTCCTCTCTCTCCTAGCAGCACCTGCATTGTAGAGCCACATACATAGTAGTCTACAGAGCATGTCTTCCGAGGTAACCATGTAAGTCTATGCGCAAGAGAGAGAGGACTTGTGGTGCAATATGTAAACAATCCCTGGAGGCGGCAGACATCAGATCAAGATATTCATTTGTAGAGGGGAAAGGTGAGATCTATTAGGTTAGGGGAGGGGAGCAAAAAAAGATGCATTTTGTTTTTAACTTAGAGAGAAGAGGATGAACAGTAGAAAACTCCTGAAATAAGTAGTTACCTGAATGACTGCTCCCACTGATGGCTGCATTGGGGCTTCAACTGCTGTTTTTGTACCACTGCTTCATCTTTTTCAATCTTAACAAAGTCTGTGTGAAGAAATAACATTCTTGTTTTAATGATGTTACAGTCATGTTTGGTATGCTAGAAAATACAGTAATTTTCACTACAGGTTGTAGTGAAGTAGTACAGGTTTAAGGGCCTGTGTTGATGGACAAATGCAGCTTTTTTTCAGGTCCATTTTTTTTGCCTTTGAGATCTGTTTGAGATGCTTCTGAGATCATTCAGATTTGATTGACAATTCATTTGACTTGCAGTGGCATCAACCTGCTTGTAGCTGCTCTCACTCTCATTAAATTGTAGTGTTGGAAATGCAACAGCATATATTGGTTGCATTACCAATGTAATTTGTCTTTTGAGCTGTAGATGGCGCTGTAGTGCAATGTTAGTCTCTATGTACATGCTTATCTATGATACACAGGAAGTTATTTTCTTTTTCTATGTTTTCTACACAATGCTATATTCATACGTGTAATGTTCTTCTAAGCAAGTAAAACTTAATTCAGCATTCCTCAAGACCTCAGTGCTTCATCTAAACACATAACCAACAGAAAGAAGCAGTTCTGATGCCAACAAAAGCCGACCACCATTGGCCCTAAAGTTATAGCCTCCAGGAGAATCTTCACATCCGACAGCACACAGATAGATATTTGTAGGCAACTTTATTTAGAATTGTGTCCTAGAAACCAAACAAGGCCTAGTCAGGCCAATAACTTTGGTTTCCCCCCTCCCCAAGCCAGCTTCCATATGAATCCTGTTCACATGATGCAGTAATACAAAAATAACACCTCACAAATGTTTTCACCACAAAGAACTCTTCCATATTGCTACTTTATTCTGTTCTGAATTGTAACACATTTCACTTTCTGTATACTATGGGGTCTATTCACTAAGCTGCCGATCCTTCGGCTAGCTTCGGCCCCAGGACCCCTTCGGTTCAGTAGAATTCACAATAGCCCGTACAGCTCCCGATCATGGCCGAGCGGCTCAGCCGAGCCGAACGCATATGCACCGTGCTGAAAGACGAAGCTGGCCGTGATCTTGCGGCTGGCTCCGGCCACTTTCAGAGAGATCAGCGTCCCCGGTTAACTGCTAACCAGGGACACTGATCTCCAAACAGCAAACTCTCCCTGGCGCCCCAGGAGTCTCCTGCTCCCGGCCGCCAAGGAGAGAGCACTGCTGTGTCTGTTTTTCTTTATTCTGACACGAGCATGTCAGAATAGAAAAAAAAAAAAGATTTTTCCCATTGAAAAGCATTGGGACATTACTATTGTTGTTCGGCTCACTTCACTTCAGATCGGTCATTCACTTGGCTGACCTCGGCAGCTTTGTGAATAGACCCCTATATTTATAATCTTAATTGGCTTCACCTTATGTATAATCTGTATACAGTATACTATAATAGATTGTAAGCTCTTCAACATTCTTTGTGCCTCCCTTATATCTATTACTCATTCAACAATATTTGCATAATGAAGGAGGGGACAGGTGCAGTTAAGAGTAAATGGAATTAAATACCTTTACCCATATCTTTAAAATAATAACAAACACACATTTAGAAATGTTTAGTTATAACAATCTACAAACACATACTTCTAGATAATTGCCGGCTTTGTGTTCTTTGCATTCCTTATTTCACTTTTCTTCCCCAATCTTCTCACAGTGGCCATTTTAACTAAAGGCAGATTATTAGATCTCCTTTACTTACTGGAATTCTGGCACATGTGACTAGGACATGTGACCATGCACATCATCTCAGAGGAGGAAAATGCCTTTCCCTGAGATCTCATAAGATCACAGATGAGATTTTCCAGCAATGCTCTGCTAATGTAACTGTCCCAAGATGCAACGCTTAGGCACATTACATAATTTGTGCCAGGAAGTAGATACACTTTATTTGTAAGTAAATGAAAAACATATTTTTATAAATCAGATTTTAAATCAGCACGCAGAGTGGTTTTTAGTGAAAGGTGGTAAAGGTGCAATTTAAGCTCAATCATTGATACACCACAACTTATTTTTTTTAAATGGGCAATTTCCTCAATCCAGACCTAGACCATTCTTCAATAAAGATGAAAAACCTTTATCTGGCAATAAAGATTTAAAAAAACCTGTATCCAGAAAACGATAGGCAAGTAACAGTTTTGCACTGATAGCTCTAGCTAGAACAGGGGTGGGCAAATCCTGCCCTCCAGCTGTGCTTTAACTACAATTCCCAACATGCCTCTGACTCCGGGAGTCATGCCTGTAACTGTCAGTCTTGCAATGCTTCATGGGACTTGTAGTTTCACTACAGTTGGAGGGCCGGAGTTGCCCACCCCTGAACTAGGAGATTTGTTTAGAAGTGGTCACCATAATTGGCTTTCATGGTGATTACATGATCAGAAAGGGTTTGTTGTGCTCATCATAAAGAAACTACTTCCGGTGCAATGAGAAAAAAATACATTATAAGAAGAAGATACTATTAAAAAAATGATGTTAAATAATTGACTAAATAAAAAAATAAATTCAATTGTAATAAAAAATATAGGCAGGTTAACAGTGAACCAAATCAAAGCCTTACATGGTGCCCTTAAAAAAATGTAAACTTTGTTTAGGTAAGAAAATGATTTTGAAGTCAACCAAAACATTCTTACACTGCTAAGTTTGGTTTGGGCATCTAGGTTTCATTGCCCTCTGATCATCAAATGGATCAGTGAAATGAACATAGCTGCTCAAGCACCTCCAGCAGTATTATAGTTTGTCCCAATCTCTGTCACTGTCACCTTTGCTGGACAGAAAATATAAATCAAAATGTTAAATAAAAATTCATCTATGGAATACTACCATGACGTGTATTAGCAATTTTTTTGGGGGGATGTGGAATGTTCTACAATGGAAGACGGTAATAGCAAAATCAATAACAGTTTTCAAAAAAGGTTTTGATCATTTTGATAAAACTAATAATATCCTAAGGTATAAATTCTAAGTACATTTTAAGCCATAGTACTAATGATACTGTGTAGTGACATAATAAAAGACTTTGTATCCCTCGTAAGAGGTAAAACCAACCATAGTCGGAGGTTTTGTTTTTTGTTCCTCTGAAATAAAACTACTGCTTGTTCTCATCCTTAATAATGATCCGTCTGAATGACTTAGTAGCAGTGACCAGCACGGTGACTCACCATATAGCTTTTCTCTCTGTTTTCCACAGGCAGCCTGCAGGCAAATCTCGCCCTGGAAGGAGCCCGTCCCCTCTCCGTGGTGGGTTAGTGGAGTAGAGAAAGGGAATTGCTGCTCCTGAGGATCCTCCATGCGCAGAGCGATGCAGCCTTCACCTATACTCCCACAAGCCAAGAACAATAGAATGTTATGTTAAAATCATTTCAAGCATCAGGCCCGATTCTTTGAAATATTGACCCAAGTGCAATACTTTATCAAGGCCTAGTTGAGGTCTTACACCTTTTAACCAATTTATCATCCTGTACCCCTGAGTGTTATGAGTTGTGACTGATTTTTGATTAGAAAATGACTCTTTTTCTTTCAGTGAAAGTGCTGCTTCCTGCCATTCTCTACACTACTCTGTGCTGGCAGAGCCGAGTAGCAGCCACACCCCCATCACAAGCTTCCACACACATTTGTATTGCAGAGATGGGGAGGGTACGTGTCTTAACAAATCTGTTACGTTACAGAGAGCAGTGGGGTTTTACTCTTGTGCTTTTGGGACTGCATAATAATAGTTCAGCTGGCTGTACACTGTTAGGATTTCGTTTGAACATTCAAAATTGTACATCAGAGCATTTGATCTTGCCATCAGTCAACCAATTTAGTTTGAAAGCCCTTATACATTTGCCCAGCCCTGCTACTTGAATGGAATCCCAGATGTACTAAACCAGTTTCTTTTGTGTCTAGCACATAGGCATTATATCAGAGGTGGGCAATTCACTTTCTCAAGGGACCACGTGGGAAACTGGGACTGTTGTGTAGGGCTGAACCAATTAACGGACAAAACTATGCGAAGCAGCTACTGTGCGTTACTGTGCGGCAGGTGTGTAGCATTGTCATTCATTTGAATGGCACCCTAAACACACCTCCCGGCTGCAATGCGATTGACTGCACCGCAGCGCATGGTACCGCAATATTGTGCACTGCGGTGAGGTTGAAAAAACTTGTGCATGTAACACACTTGCTGCACTGTAACACACATTAGGTGTGTTGCATGGTGTTGGTTATGTGTTTAGATGAATCACTGAGATCTTGAGGAAAGTTTTACTTGCTTAGCAGGACATTACATGTATGTATAAAGGAACACAGCATAGAAGAGAGGAAAACATATATACAGATAGAACTACCTGTGTATCACAGATATAAGCATGCATATAGAAAACTAGCATAGACTAATATTGCACTACAGTGCCATCTATTTTATATTAACTAGGGATGCACCGATATATCGGCCGCCGAAAACATATTGGCCGAAAATGGCACTTTTGGCATAATGCCAAAAGTGCCATTTTCTGGCCGATACAGCGGTGTATCCTTTCTTTCTCTCCTCCCCGCTGGGCACTGCTATGTACCAGCGGGGAGGAGAGAAACTGTCACAGGAGGCAGAGCGCTGCGAGGAGAGCGCTGTGAGCAGCCGGCGTCTCTCCTCCCACACTGCTCAGCCTCCTGTCACAGATCGGCGAGCAGGTGTGTGGGCGGAGACAGCCAGCGCTGTCACAGGAGGCTGAGCTCTCCTACCGAAGGGCTCACTCAGCCTCCTGTGACAGCGTGTCAGGAAGCAGAGCGAGGTACAAACACTCAGCGATCAGTGATCGCTGAGTGTTTGTAAATAATTGAGGACAGAGTATGTTTACTGTCTCCCCAATTATGAATGAATGGGAAGTGATCTACATCACCTCCTGTTCATACATGATTGTGGCATTTTCACTTAGGGGTGTACTCACTTTTGCTGCCAGCAGTTTATACATTAATGGCTGTGTGTTGAGTTATTTTGAAGGGACAGCAAATGTACACTGATATACAAGCTGTACACTCACTACTTTACATTGTAGCAAAGTGTCATTCCTTCTGTGTCTTCACATGAAATGATATAATAAAATATTTACAAACATGTGAGAGGTGCACTCACTTCTGTGAGATACTGTATGTATAATGCTAGATGATAATTGGCAAGTTTAATGTGTAGTAATCTGGCAGGCAGCTTTCTGCACATTAGAATGATCTTTAGACTGACTGACATAGTTATTAGTCTGGCCAGCACTGACAGACAATTTACAGTATATAACACTGTTAAACGGCATGCTTGGCATGTTATATGGATCACCAGTATATTTTATTTTTCCTCCACAGAAAAATACACTGTTTTAGGCTACGTGCACTTTTCAAAATAAAACTGGGCCCATTTATCAAAGGCCATTTCGGCTCTATTCTTCCCAGTTGATCATTGCTTTGGGACTTTATATTTTGTAGATATTGATAGAAGGAACTTGCAAAGTCAGATCAGGCATACTACATTATCTCCTATGGGAGGTTTCTGATTGCCTCAAGGGTGCTGTGGTTTTCCCTTATTAATGCTGGGAAACATATCATATTAGCTACCACACTGTTGTCCTGCCTTGTCCTGCCTTCCTCTATCAGCATTTCTACTGCTGTTTGTAGATATTTTTCTTTATAAATACCTGGATTTCTCCATGCGAATTGAAGTGGATAGGGCAAATGTTTTCTTTTATGATAAATGTGTGTCAGTGTATTTTTCCAACATGTCCTTCCATTAGTCTTCTACAAAGAATGACTCTCTGTAAATTCTGTCCGACAAGCTCACAGCACAGGAATCCTGCAGTGTCTGTTTATATGCTTGCCGGGCATTAGATGTTAATGAGTAAAGCAGTGTACAAATGCGGGAAGATTATTCCACAGACTGTGTGGGTGTGCCGCAGATGACTTTGACAGCAAAAGAGGGAGAAAAGCTATTAATATATAGAGATGATCCAAACATCTTGGGTTATTTTTATATAAATGAGACAGAATTCATGGCAAGCCTTACAATGTGATGGCTTGGCAGAGGACAAACCTTATGCGCATATGTTCTCAGTTCCTACCAACAGACAGAAAGTAGATGGGTACTACAGGAACCATGTGCCATTGTGTGTCACTGAGTTAGACATGTAATTGTCAGTGAAATTTGTATTCATTAACACTATCAAAAAGTGATAAATGACATGGAAGCTCAGTGGATAGCAATGTAACACATTGTGACTGGATTGTCTGATGTATTTAACCATCATATAACCATAATATAAGCTCCCCTGCCCTGGGGCTTATTCTTCAGAAAGTAGACGATCTCAGTGTCATGGAGAAATTAATGGCAGCTTTGCACCATACTGAGGAATGTTTTCGTAAAAACCTGGTTTTAATGCATTTACTCACAGGAACATGGGTCCTTAGTATGTGCCTGAGTCTATTCATTATACATATTGAGTGTCTCGGTTCTTGGATTGTCGTTCTTCTAAGAGCGGTTTGAGCTTTGTCCCTCACCTTTGCTGCTGTTTCCTAGGGAATTATTCACAAAGTTGCCGAAGGCAGCCGAGTGAACAACCCAGCTGAAGTGAAGTGAGCCGAACTACGCTTGGCAATTCACTCCGCTCAGTACGGCTGATTTCAGGGGCCGAATCGCAGTGAGTGAATAGCTGAATGCCGCCAAGCGGCATTCGGCTCGGCTATTCTGCTCGGTACCTCCGTGGTACCAAGCAGCATAGGAAATAGTGAAAATAGTAGAAGAAAAAAAAAGGTTAAAAGAATATTTCTAAAATGTAAATAAATTGTAAAATTAAAACTTAAAGATTTTTTTAAAAGAAAAAAAACCCATATGTGTGGAGCTAGCAGTGACAGCTCAGCTAGCTCAGCCCAACTGTTTCCTATTGGCCGCCACCTGCTAAAGTCTTCTAGCAGGTCCCAGCCAATGAATAACAACTGGGCATAGCCACCTGTAACATTACAGCCGGCTCCGCGCAGTTGTTATTGTTTAATGACAGATCAGCATCCCCAGGTCATTTGGGGATGCTGATCTGTCATTATAACTGGGCAGAGCCAGCCGTGAGATCACGACCTTCTCCACCCTTTCGTGAATAACCCCCTAGTCTTTTCACAGTCACTATACATTTTTTCTTCCCATCTCCCGAGAACGTAGTTATGCTCAAGAATGGTTATTTATTCTTTCACCTGAAAGTTATATTAGTCACCTGACCTGTGCACGCAGCTCATTCTGACCTTTTGTATTTCCGTGCTCTACATTTTTCTGACATGCTTTTCGCGTCTTATTTATCTTGGTGTTTTCTGACTTGCCACCATGTTATGAGTGGATTTTAATCCTGCCTTTATGTTCTGATTTTTTCTGTCTTATTGTTTTATCTTGTATTTAATATCATGCTGACATTCTTGCTTCAACACTTACAGATATGTTTATATACAATTTGCAGGGTCATTTGCCCTGTGAATATCTTTAGCAATTGATCTGTGCAGATATGCTCTTGGAATGCTCTTTTTTTATTTACGATACATGTATCTTTAAATGTTTTTCCCATGTAATACTGCATTATGACCATTAGGTGGCACTAATGAGCATGAATTAATACTTATTATTTATGCTCTAATGGCCATAATGTGGTATGACATACAAATAATGAACTATGGGGTCAGGGCTTTTCCCCATAGTTCTCCTAAGGGTAACGGAAGGACACAAACTAGCATCCTCACGTCACCCAAAGCTCAGTATACCGCAAGCTACAGCTCGCGGTATACTGAGACGCTGCAGCCCGGACAGATCCCGAAATTACTGTCGAGATCCACCCAGCTGTGCACGCCCCCTCCCCCGTCTGTTCCGCCAGTCAGCGCTGGAGGATCGGACAGGGGAGGGGGGGAATCCCTGCAGGGAGCCGTGAGTGACAGTCTGCAGGGACAGTGAGCGAGCGACGGTATGTGTTCGCTCACTTCCCGATCTATTGAGCCGACCTGTGACAATGAAACTGTCACAGGTCGGCTGAGTGAGTGATTTTCCCTCGCCTCATAGTTCTCCTTTAAATCAGGTATGCAGAAAAGGACATTTAATTTTACTCTGATGTTCCTGATCTGCAGACTTCTTCCAGGTCAATGACTCACTGCTTTGCTTTGAGTCACTGTTACAACAAACAGACAGTACAAGTCCTTCAACTGAGTTCTGCAATTTATTTTTCACAGATGGTTTCGCTCTTTCTGATCTTTCTGTCATACCGCCTTGCCTTTTTTCTGACATCTCTGAAATAAGTATGTTATTCTGGTACTAACCGTATGACTCATCAGTGTCAGATGACTTGATACATATCAGTAAATGCTGATCCAGGAGATACTCGAGATCTGAGATGATTGGGGTAAGCTGTAAGTATAGAACTGTGGTAATGTATAGAGACCAATAAAGTAGGAAACAACATAGCAAAATGTGTAGGTAGACTTATAAGTGATATGAAGGGGATACAAAAAAGATAAACACACAAAGACGATATATTAATACAGAATTAGAACACACCAAAAAGAAACCCACAGTCACAGTCTAATAAGAAAAAGGGGAGACAACACAAAGCAGCACAGTTACATAGAAGCAGGGCACAATTTAACCACCATCACCACCAGAGGAAAGGTATTTTACCGCTAGTTGGCCACATCCCCAGATCAAATCCCCTGTGAAGTCCTTGGATTACCTGGTTGTTACGCATGTATGCTCTTTGATGTGATGCTTTTAAAGACTACTGCAGAGTACAGGAATGTTCTGCAGCATTATGGTTGTGGATTCTAAAGGAACTTTTGAGCTGAAATAGAAGGCTTCAGAAGCTCAGCAAGAAAGCAACATTTGTCTTCACATGTAATAGAGAGCAGGCTCTTTTTAGACCTTCCTACCAAAGTATTTGTAATTCTGTTCCGGGTTTCTAGAGATCCCAGTACCTTGCCAGGTCCTTGATCCTCACTGTAGACTACACTGCAGTTGAATGGAAAAGCGTTAAAAATGCTGGCAGGTTTTTATTCCTGTTAACCTACATTTCATGCATGGGTGTCATAGGGACAGGAAGTTAGGGAATAAAATCTCACCCATGGGGTCACAGGCAGAAATAAAAACCTAACAGAATGCTTTATAAAATATAATTTGGAGTATCTTGCTAAATTGGAGGTGACTTTATTTATTCCAAATTACGGCATACACCATAATGAGATTGGAAGCAGATCCGAGATGCATTTCGCACCAAAAGGTAAATACTCGTTAGGCTGTACCTGGTACAGTTGTCTTTTAATTACAGTCCCTCCTCCCCGGGTGTAGCCTATCAAAAGAAATCCCTATCCTTACCCCCAATCCCCCGTCCAAAGACTCCCGCCGAGTCCTAGTGTGAATGCGTGCCACGATGCGGGCGGGGGGGGATTAATTAAAGGACAATTGTGTCAAAGGTACAGTTCTCCAATAATGTGCACCGTTGTCAGTTAAGTTATTATCTCGGCAGCTCAGCTCACCCTGTTTCCTCCTCCCACAGCACTTGCTTTGGTTTTAGAGATTAGTTATGATTAATAGGCACAGCTGGGTGGGGAATCTGAGCTGCTGAGAGCTGACTTAAACAACATCCGTGACTACAGAAGCCTCCGTCTTTATTTTTTTGTCCGGAGCATGACAAGGAGCTTGTAGTGTGTTCCCTCCCAGCATGATCTATGGGTGGATTCTAAACACCTTTGTAGTGTGTACACACCCAGCAAGTGTGTTGTGCAAAGCCCTGCAAGCATTTGCAAGGTGATGTTGTGTAAATTAGCTCTATGTTGTGTTGCTTGCGTTGATGAATGCTGGAATGTAAATGCATGAGCTAACCATTTTTGTCTAAACTGTGAAGCAGCATTATATATGCATCATGTGCATGATTTTTCCATATATGGCATTAGTGGAAATATGCTTTTAGATACTTTTTGGTTGATAAATACGTTTTGCTGTGTAAAATTCACACGCACCTAGTGCGTGCGTGTGTTTAGGTTAGTAAATCACCCCCATAGAGTTTAGTGTGACATTGCAAAAGTTAACACAGTCAAGCACACAAACAAATACACTAAGCAACAATCTTGCTCTTGAACAGGTTAACTGAGTTAACTTCCTAAAGTGATGTTTGCTATGAAATCTTGAAAAAAGATAATAATGTTTTGGTGTTACTTGAGATATTTGGGGAAAGTGAAAGGAAACTTGTGAAATATTAAGACTGTTATGGCAGGCCTCTCCTTCCACAATTGCTAGTTACCTGATTGCAGTGCTAATGCTTTCCACGGATACAGCAGAAGTATAGACATCAGAAATTCTGTCTTTCACAAGGCTGTATGCTTGATTCACACAGCCACACAGCTGGGCAAATTGCATTTTCAAAAGGAGGCCAGACATGACAGACAACATATTTTTTGTCATGGTGGATATACCTTCAATAGATTACGTGCAATGAACGTGTACCATGATATTTCACAGGAAGCAGACATGGGCAGGTGACAATACGTACACTGACAGATACTTGAGAATGACAGATGAATTTTCAGTAGTGGGAAATCACCTTTGGAAGGGTTCCAAACGTCACCATTAGAGTGCCATTACATCCATCCTGATCCTCGGCTTCTGAACTCTTTACTACATCTGTTAGGATAAGATAAACAACTCAGATGAAATCCAGAAGGAGAACTTGGCACAAACCCCCTTATGTGATAGCAAAATATGTGACATGTCCTCTTTATGGAGACATCAGGGGTCTCCAAGACCCCTAATGTCATCTAGGACCCCCCTGAAGAAGCTGATGAAGCAAAGATCTGCTTCATCAGCTTTGGGGGGGGCAGACGAGGGAGCGCTGTCATATCGGATGGCCAGCGCCCAGCGGTGAGGGGGAGAGAAGCCGCCCCCAGGACGAGCTGTGTCGGCTGCACGGCGCCCTTGTTGCCATGGCGCCCTGTGCGGCCGCACTGCTCGCACACCCCTAAGGCCGGCCCTGATTGCAACTCCTTCCTCGTTGGCCTAACTCTGCATAGGCAATCTCCCCTTCTGTTTATCATTAATGCTCTGCCAGACTCATCCACCTCACAAAAAGCTCAGAGTCTACAACCCCCCTCTACCAATTCCTCCACTGAGCTCCAATTGCCCAAATAATACATTTCAAAATATTAACAAACACTTTTATAGTCATCCACAACTCTTCCCCCAGCTAATATCACTCAAACCATCCTCTCTACTTCTCCCAAGATCTCCTGCTCTCTCGCTCCCTCGTCACCTCCTCCCATGCTCTCCTCTAGGACCCAACTATGGCCTCTTCAATCCACTGGAACTCCCTACCTCAACTTGCCCAACTATCGCCTACTCTGTCTGACTTTAGGTGATTCTTGAGAACTCATCTCTTCAAGAAAGCCTGTCCCACATTCTTCCTAACAACTGAACTTTTACTTTCTCAAACTCATCCCCTCCCAGTTGCCATATTTTGAATCCCTCACTTTCAGATTGTAAGCTCTTACAGGCAGGACCCTCCTGACCCTCTTCTTTAGAATTGTATTGTAACTATACTGTTTCTCTTTATATTGTAAAGTGCTCTGCAAACCGTTGGCGATTTATAAACCATGTATAATAAATTGGATATTCCTTACACTGTTTTATTTAAAGTATTCTGTGCATAGACTTCATGAGAACAAATCAATCACTTCACCATACATCACATGTTTCATACTATTACACTGATGTGTAGTAAAAGACCGAAAGATATGAACATGGTTTCATCATGTGGTAAAATACAACAAAATAACATGACTATTATTTTTTACTAGTTTACAACTATATTCTCACCTTCACAAGATGGTAAGATAAGTATATTAAAATATTCTGCAGTCATGGAAATGCAGTCATGGAAATGCTTAAAGTCTATCTCCACTTTAAGCCAAAAATTAAAAAATAACTATTCCAGCAGTGCTTGAAATAAACAAAGCAGCTTTTTTTGCAATACGTAACTCCTTTCCAGCAATGTCTCCCAAAGACTCTCTGTCCTGTTGCTGCCACTTAGTGTAATTCAACCAACTTCCTGTGAGCCTAGGACATCAAGGACCCACCCCCGGAAGGTGCATTATCACACTTGCCTGGGCTTGAAGTACTGCTGTACTAAACAGAGTTTACACATCAATATGTGAGCGCTGTTCAGTAGAGGAGCAGGAATTGCCCACTGCTGGAGGGAAGAAGAGAAGAAAGAGGACGCTGTGCATCATATGACCGAAGAGAAGACTGCTAGAAAACAGGAGCTGGGCTTTAAACTAAAACCACTATAGGCTAAGCAGATTAAAAGGTGACAGCTGCAAAGTAATGCATTTAACTGCTCTTTCCACTGTTATTAAACAGGTCTTGGGAACTTTAATGCATTTTACGCAACTAAGCTGCTTACTTTCTAGGCAAGTAGAATGAAACTCTATGTAGAATTTGGTGTGGCTTTTGGTGTACAGAGTAGCTTTGCAGTTCAGTAGTTCAATATATCCCTGCTCATCTGAATCATTGGGATCTAAAGCATAAGAAGAAAAAGAAAAAAGAAAGCAATCATGGATTTGATTATTATTACATCTTGAATGCTTCGTATCTCACATTTTTTTTATCATTGACACCAATGTGCATGGGCACAGTAGTCTATCGCTCTCTGCATCCTGTCAGTGAAAGGCAGCAATAGACAATTTTTATGACAAACTAGTGTGTTTTGGCAACATTGCTTGTTAGGTGATCACAAATGGTGCTGATTTCTACTAGGGAGTAGGTTAGCGTCCAGCACCTTTACTGTTATCATGACTGTTAAGTGACAACCGGTCTACTGTACAGTATACAGTACACATGAATAGGCATATTTCACTATATACTCCCTCAGAGGCATGATTAAAGACACTTAACTCAGGAGTAACTCCGGGTGTAAATCTTAAAAATGTATTCAACTACCTTAACTATTAACAAAAATGTATCTTATTTGTGTATCACTCAGCTGTATATCCTCAAATCATCTCTGAATTGGTGCTGACACTGTCCTTCCTTCTGGAGGGTGGCTACGTTTGTTCCCCGTGGTCCATGTGTGTGTTGTAAAGTAGTCACGGCTCCAAGCTCGCTCCAGTGATGGACTACAATTTCAATGCAATCAGTAAACTAAACATGAGATTGTAGTCCATCACAGGAGCGAGCTTGGAGCAGTGACTACTTTACAACACACACAGGGACCATGGGGAACAAAAGTAGCCACCCTCCAGAAGAAAGGACAGTATCAACACCAATTCAGAGATGATTTGAGGATATACAGCCGAGTGATACACAAATAAGATACATTTTTGTTGATAGGTAAGGTACTTAAATGCAATTTTAATAATTAACTCCTGAGTTTAGTGTCACTTTAATTGCACACTTCGGTGCACCCACAAGGGCAAGTTAAACAATTAAAAAAGCCACTTTCAATTTAAACCGTGGTGGGGAATGCAGAACAAAAGTTACCTTTTATTTTTGAGTTATTAATCACTAATGGGCTATGTCACTAATATATCACCATGTGGCTAAGATTGTACTTAAGGGACAGTACCCAATGTAACAGGGTGAAATGGAACCAAGTGCAACCAAAGTACAAACAGATTGTTTCTGCTTTTCTTTTTTCCTTTTTGCCTTAGCAAGCCACCACTGGACACTAGTGTTGAAATTCAGCTTCAGAAATATAAGGGGAGGGTAGTGGTAGCAGCTTGGAGGAGTCACAAGACTCTGTAAATGAAGTGACAGTTATCAGCTCCTTCTCTGCAGGCAGCTTAATAGCGTCTCTCATTATAAAGCAGATGGCAAAGACCAATAGTAACATATTCTGTTATAATAATAATATAAGAAGGTTAGAAACTGCTAAGGTGGAGCCTTTCGAAACAGCCTGCCATGGGAAGTATGGACTCTCAATCCAGCCCTCTTCAGATGCTAAAAATGAATTAGTGACATATTGTTTTTGTATACAGTACAATAGTGAAAAAGCACCAAACTGGCTATAATACCTCTATCTGATGCTGACAATGATAAATATGTCTTACTGTTTTTAGAGACGAACTGAGAAGTTACTCCAACCTGGAATGTGGCAAATACAGGAGAGTGGTCACTGGTGGTGATATCCTCTGTGCATCCTGATAAGGGAAGAACAAACAAATGAATTCAGTTATTACCACAAGGAATGCAAATTACATTCTCATCTACAGTTAGCTATGCAAATACATATACAGGGCAAGGTCTTTTAACAGAATACTTCTGGATCCTAGGGCACCTAGGGTGTTTCTGATGAGCACCCAAAGTGAAATGAGTACTGTGCCTACTGTAAGAAAAAAAAACATGCAGTTGTGCGTATTAGACATGCGCAATTCGTTTCAGAAAGATTTGTTTTTCGGACAAATTTTCAGAAATTCGTACATTCGGATGCATCTGAGCTTCCAAATGACAGAAATAACAAATGTAAACAAATACGAATTTCCAATAAAGAAAAGTTTGGATGCTTCCGAATTTCTTTCCCGAATTAAGTTTTGTTGTGTTAAGCATCAACTTAAAAAAAATAGAAATCTGAATTTTCGTTAGCCGTAATACATACGTATTTTGATTATGAACGACCTTATGAAAGTGACATTAGACAATAAAAAAGAAGACTTTTTTTTTTGGTACAGTCCGCAGAACAGAAAAAAAAACCAAGCATGAGGTTCCTCCACAATTGATACCGGACCCTTGAGGTCTGGTAGGAAAGTTAGGAGGGATCCCCCAAGTTAAAAAAAAATTGTATGGGGTTCCCCCAAAAGTCATACTAGGCCCTTATTAATAATAAATTATACTATAAATAATACCATTCATATGACACCTCGGCCACCCAGACCTGAATGGCATTCGGGAGCTCAGGAATACTATTCAGGAGCACCTGAATGCTAATGTGTTTTGACAGCTCAGAATGCCAAATGAGCGGTCTGTCATTTTGCGGTAAATCTTCGTCGAGTTCGGACAGATCATCGTGCAGTAGGACATTCTTTATTTTGGTGAGTCGCTGGGCGTCGCGCATCGTGATTGATGCTGAACTACATCGATGGATCCATTTTTAATTTTTTTTAAATAAAGGAATTGTCAACTGTTTTTTTTTAATTAAAGGACTTTTAAAAACACGTGGTCTCTTTATTTACATTTACTTTTAACCCTTTAGTGAATAAGAAGGGGTATCCCTTACTCATTCAAAGGGGGGAGGGGGCGGCAGCACCTGGGTGCCCACTTAATTAAAGGGGTATCCCAATGGAAATAAGCCCCCCTGCCCGCAGACCCCCACAACCACCGGGTCAGGGTTGTGGGGTAAAGGCCCCTGTCCGCATCGGCATGGAAACACCCTCCTCATGCCGCGGGCACGAGGCCTGGTATGGCGCAGGGAGGGGGGGCTCTATGGCCCCCCCTTTCCTGCCCTGCCAGGCCTGTGCTCGACTCAAGGGTCTGGTAGGAATTTTAGGGGGGACCCCATTTCCCCCTCCCATAAAATCCCTACGCCCCTAAAGGGCCTGGTATGCCTTTTGCGGCAACTCCGCACACTTTTATTTTTTACTTCGGGGGTCCCTCCTAACATTCCTACAAGACCTAAGGGGTCTAGTATCAATTAGGGGGGAACCTCATGCTTTTCTTTTTTTTTTCTCTTCTGTGGACTGTAAAAAAAACATAATTTGTTTTCCTTTTGTCTAATGTCACTTTGCTGCAACGACAATTCATTCATAACAAAAATTCGTACATACTATCGAATCCCGAAACAAATTATCTTTCGGACCCGAATCCCAAAAAACGAATTAACAAAAGATCCAAATGAAAAGAAAACAATGTTTTTGCCGGTGCACGTGTCTAAAGTATATATAACTTTAGGCAATTTGCATCTGTGTATTACAAAAATCTTTACACCATAGGACTGACATAAGAAGTGCATCTGGGGACCAGTGGCGTAACAACCGGGGGGGCAGGGGGGTCGTTCGCTTGTATATATACATACAGTATATAGATATGTGTGTGAGAGTCTTCTTTAAATATCCCAATAGCCCATCCAACCCCACCGGTAATGTCACAATTGAAATTCACCAGGCATATTACAGAAACTGAACTGGACATACCTTAATTCGATGTCCTCTATTTTGAAATAACAAAATAGCAATATTTTAACACAGTAAAGAGTACTGAGGCTATAAAGCAGAAACAGAAATACTCACAAGGCAAGGTCTTTGATTTCTTCTATAAACATTACACGGGTTTTGGAACTTACAACCCAGCGTAATGTAGTGTGTAATGTTTAATGTGTAAGTACCTTAACTATTTACACTGGACCTTATTTCTGCATTACTCAGCTGTAGATCGTCAAATCATCTCTGAATTGGTGTTGATACTGTCCTTCCTTCTGGAGGGTGGCTAGTTTTGTTCCCCATAGTCCCTGTGTGTGTTGTAAAGTAGTCACTGGTCCAAGATCACTCCTATGATGGACTATACATTCAATATAAATTAGTAAGTTAAAAGTGAGATTGTGGTATATCACGGTAGCGATCTTGTCGTGCTGGCTACTTTACAACACACACAGGGACCATGGGGAACAAAAGTAGCCCCCCTCCAGAAGGAAGGACAGTGTCAGCACCAATTCAGAGATGATTTGAGGATCTACATAGTGATGCACAAATAAGATACATGTTAGTAGCTAAGCTGCTTGAATGCATTTTTAAGATTTAGTTTAGTGTCACTTTAAAGCTGAACTCCAGGAAGCTACTAAATTAACAGTTGAACTACCAGTATTAGAACTTTTTCTTTTAGCCAATACATTTGTGTAACCACCTTGCCCTAAGCAAACTGAAGTGCTCTACACATTTGGTCTCCCCTAAGCCCAGTGTAGGGTTGCCACCTGTCAGGGATTCACCCAGACAGTCCGGGTTTTGAGTGCTGTGTCGGGGTTTCATGGCAGCTGAAACCTGGACACCAGATTTCAGGTAGACGGGGGCAACCAAAATTAGGATAGGGGCTACTGACCCCATACTGAAAATAGGCTTGACTGTGATATTTACATTTGAATCGGTAACGTTATTTACATATGAATAACCACTGACTTATTCATATATAAATATCACAATTAATTGATATGCAAATTCTGCACCTCCTCACCTCCATTATAGAAGGTGGTACAGTCCGGCATTCTGCAGTGACTTGGTGCAGGAGAGGCATTTTTAGCTGTCCTTCTTCATGCATCCTTTATCTGTCAGTGTGCGTGGCTATCAGCTTCTGTGGTTAACAGACACATTTTGTGCCTTTTTGCACCCCTTCAACTGTTTAATTCACTTTTAATAAAACTCCTGGCTGCTTTACATTTCTGATACATTGCTGGTCAGTGAGAATACCTCTGTAACATTGCTGGTCAGTGTGAATACCTGCGTTACATGGTGATCAGTGTATTTACCTCTGTTACATTGGCAATCACTGAGCATACCTCCATTAAATTGGTGGTTTGTGTAGCGCATCCTAACTAATTCTCTCCTTATTTTCTCTCCTGGCTGTCTCTCCTCTTGGCTGTTTCTCCTCTCTCTCCCCTGGCTGTCTCTCCTCTCCCACTCCTGGCTGTCTCTCCTCTTGGCTGTTTCTCCTCTCTCTCCCCTGGCTGTCTCTCCTCTCCCACTCCTGGCTGTCTCTCCTCTCACACTCCTGGCTGTCTCTCATCACGCTCTTGGCTGTCTCTCTTCTCTCTCTCTCCTGGTTGTCTCTCCTCACTTTATTCGGTATATTCTCCCAACAAAATTTCCACATGGTGCTAGAGTGTTCGGGTTTCGCTTGAAGAAAAGGTGGCAACCCTAGCCCAGTGTGATCGGTTGCTTCTGCCTCCTGCTGGGATGTGACCCTGGCAATAGAGCAAGAAGATCCAACTACTTCCTGGGGGAGAATATGTTACTGCCTATGGTCTATACATGTCTGCTGTGTAAGGAAGGCTTTATGTGTCTGGAAGTGGAGGCCTGAATTTGGGCCTGAAGTTATCCTGCCTGTAACAGGGGGAAGCTGACCCAAGATGGAATGTCAGGGCAAGAGACTCTGCTGGATGTTGAGGCTGGGTAGAATATGGATCCCTATAGAGGCCTGGTAACTCTCTTATGAGGTTTCACAGAGAACTCTGCTAACCAGCTAAGGGTCTGCTATAGTATTGCCAGTCCTGGAGTAAAAGCTCTTTGCACTGTATAGCTGGAAAGAGGATATAGAATCTGGAGTCTGCAATGTGTCTTGGGTGTCTAAAGCCCTTACCCCTCTCTCCTTGTGAGCTACTAAGAGGAATAATATATTTTAAACACCTTAAAGTGACTGGAGTCTGAATTACATTCACACACCTCAAAGACTCACCCCTGAGGTGAAGTGCTACCCCCCTTCCTCTGGGGTCCCTCACATGCCTTTAGGGGCCCGAGGGTGCTATATTTGCATTTCTAATTTGCTGACTTGAAACATAAATACATCGCAGTATCCTTTGTGAAATGTTTCCATCTGCTTATGTTTACTCGTAGTATATAGTACATAGTATGTGTTCATTGACATTCTGAGCACAATAGGAACATTTAATCATCTAGGTTGAATGTAATTTTTAAACATCAGATATGTTTAAAAATAATAAGTAATGTGTTCTATACTCATAATTTCACCAGCTCTAGTAATGGACAAACATCTCACCCCTGTTGCTTTCTGCTTGGTATAGCAGTACCGCTCTCTGGTTCCTCTCTCAAACCGATATGTTGGAGGAAAAGTGATATCTTCTTCATCTGAAATGAGAAAGAAAGACCAGAATGGGATAGACATTTTACTCACTGCAATGTAGGAGCTGCCCTATACAAAGAACATTGTGATTATTGCAATCTTCTAAATGCACTCTTGTCAATGATCAACTGGCAATAGACCAAACGTTTCTTTAATTAAAAAGAAAATCAGAGAGGCCATATTTTACATGAATTTTCCTCCTGCTGCCAGTTTTAGCAATACAGCAGCAAAACTGTTCAATAATGACTTCTCACAATGTGGATTAGCCACGGGGCATGCATATACATCTCATTATCTATGAATGGCCAGTGCAAAGAGGATTGATGAATAATGTAACTTACTGAAGTAGAGGAAGACTTGGCTCTCCATACGCTCCATATTTAACTGGTCATAGGCCAGTAGTTCCTGGTATTGCTGTTGTTTAATCTTCTGTACAATGTTCTCTGCCTCCTGCCAGTTGCACAGAAGTGAATAAACATGATTGCAATAGAACTTATATTTGTGACATGTAGTGTTACTGTTTTGATTTTGGCATTGTTTTTATACTAGAAAAATAAAGTTATCAACTTGGGGTTGATTTACTAAAGGAGTAGAAACTAGTCGCTCTGTAAATGCTTATCATTGTAAATTATTGTGATGGATGATTGAAGTGAAAAAAAAAATTCACTCTGAACACTTCTTTAGTAAACCCACTAGTTGGCAGTCTACAATTACTTTACAGTATATCTATTTTTTTAGTTTTGGATAGAGAATGGATGGGTTAAAACTCCTGCTAGTTTATTTAATACCCTTCTAGACAGTTGTCAGCAGAACGAGTGTCCCATTGGAAGATTTTCCTTTTAGTCCTGTTCAGGCGACAACTTAAAATTTAGGATTTTCCCTCACTTTCACTACCGGTGAATATGGTCCTCAAGGATAATTGAGATAATTGAGAGAGTGAATCTCCCTAGCAGGGACAAAGACTTCTGTAAAAACTGGCAGAGGTTCGACTTTCTCACCCCTCTATCCAAAACTGAAGAAAAATGTTTTGGCATTAGATACACTAAACTTAGGCGTTAAATCTTAAAAATGCATTCAATGTGTATCACTCAGCTGTAGATCCTCAAATCATCTCTGGATTCATGCTGACAATGTCCTTCCTTCTGGACGGTGGCTACTTTTGTTCCCCATGGTCCCTATATGTGCTGTAAAGTAGCCAACGTTCCAACCTCACTCCTGTGATGGACTAAAATCTCATATTTAGTTTACTAATTTGTATTGAAGTTATAGTCCATCACGGGAATGAGCTTGGAGCAGTGGCTACTTTACAACACACACAGGGACCATGGAGAACAAGAGTAGCAACCCTCCAGAAGGAAGGACAGTGTCAGCACAAATTCAGGGATGATTAGAGGATCTACAGCCGAGCGATACACAAATAAGATATATTTGTTATTAGTTAGGGTACTTGAATGCATTTTTAAGATGTAACTCCTGAGTTTAGAATCAATTTAATGCTGCAGGCTGTAAGAAAAATCTTTTGCCTTTATCTCCTCTTCTGCAACCTTAGCCCACCCTCTCTGGGCCATCTATATCTTACCTGCAACAGAATACAGTACGGATAACAGTACAGGAGGACACTCTACACAAATTCTGTGGCAATAGACATACAAATCATTTTGGCAATGATGTACAAAAGCTTTGTGAACCCCTAAACTACAGTGGAGAGCCCAGGTTTCCATGTCCTGGTCTATATACCACTTACACTGTTAGGAAGTTGAACTCGGTAATTGAGATCCCCCAGCCAAAAAAGATGGGTAAATCGATGGGAGAGATTGAAAGGAATGAGCTTCTTGTCACCCATAATCAGGAAGCGCAATATGTTAAAGTAATTCTGTTTCCTCCTAATAGAAAGCAAACGAAAGTTAGCATTGTTAGGGGAACTGTCTATAGGCACACAAGCTGGATTTCATAGAGACACAATGAAGTACCTGAGTTTCTTTTCACTGCCAGAAGTAAGGTGACTGTTAATGAAGCCAAAATAAGTCCCATTGAACATAAAAGAGGCACCGACTGCTCCTTTGTTTCCTGCGTACAACAATATACTGTTAATGAAGGACAGTTTACTAAATCAGCCCATAACATTTTATCTATACACGATCCAGAATAGTTACACAAAAATCATTATTAAAGTAGATATGATTTACTATGCTATATGAATTATCTAAAAATGTTAATGGTGCCTAGACATGTGCGATTCGTTTCGTTCCGAATCGAAATTCGGACGAATTTTCGTAAATTCGGACATTCGGATGTATCCGAATTCCGAATTACAGACATAACGAATGCAAACGAATCCGAATTTCCATTTCCGAAATTCGGTAGCGTTCGCACGAACGTTCGTTTCGTTTTCTGTTCTTATTCGTTTCTTATTCGTTTCGTTCGTTGGAGCAAAGTGACATTAGAGAAGGAGAAAAATATTTTTTCCCCCTCAAATGTCACTTTTGCTGCAAACGAACAAAACGAATAAGAAACGAATAAGAAACGAATAAGAAACGAATAAGAACAGAAAACGAAACGAACGTTCGTACTAACGCTACTGAATTTCATCCGAATCCGAATTCCGAATCCGAATTGACTTTCACACCCGAATCCTGAAAAACGAAATAACACAAATCCGAATTTAAAACGAAACGAAACAAATTTTTTGGCAGTGCACATGTCTAATGGTGCCTATGCAGTACCCTAAAAAAATGTACCTTTTGTCTGGAATTCATTCTGAAATATATCAGTGCACTTTTTGGTGTGTGAGTGTGTCTACAGCCTTATAGTAGAGTATCTGCAGTATAAGATCTAAGGCACTGCTAGCTTTGATTGCAAGCCTCAAGAGATTTGGAGTGGTATTTGGGGATATTACTACTGTGTTGATCAGTGTTCTTCTTGATGGAGGTTTAGAGGAAGTACAGCCCTGCCTCTACTTAGATGATCACCTTCACAAAGAGACACAGTGCAGAACAAAGCATTGTTAGACAGTAAAGGGGAAGGATCAGCTGCTGAGAAAACACAGGCAATACTAGTGACTAGTCCCATGCCTTCTGCCTGCCTTTTAAACCTCCAGAGCTCAGTTCCTCCTTAATTCACTTAATTCTAGTCCTTATAGCAACCAGCTGTAGATTTTTTTACATAAATAAAAAAGCTAATTCCTGATTTATTACTGGGGTCTAACTCCTGCACCTTCACTTTCCTTCTTTTTAATATGGTTCCTGATATTTCCGATTTAAAATCTCTCTTATTCACAGACATTTCTCTGGGAAACAGCAAAACTGGATTTGTTCCTATCTCTATAATAATCCTCTGCCCGTTGTATAAAGGCAGCCATAGCAATTAGGGTATCCACAGATCCCAGGACATGAGACCCTTCTCAGGGAAAAGGCTGGGATGGAGTTCTTTGGCCAATGGTTTCCCCAAAGATAAAAGTGAAGCTGGACTTGCTGTGTATGTAAATACATGTACATCAACAGGAGAAATCAATATCAAAACCTCTGATTAATTTGCAAGTATTCAGCCATTATTTACTGTCAGTAGTATTCTATGTGTGAAAGATTTGATAATAGATGAAAGCACCAAATGGTTATTTACCAAGCGTATTAGCAATTCCAGTCTTCACACTGTTGGTGCTAATGTGGCTGATTCGGTGAGCATGTTCTTGCTTGGCCAGGATCACAATCCGTATGTTCCAGAGTGTCTGGATTGTTATCTAGTTTAAAGCAAATTAAGTCACAAACTATTATACAGCAACAGATCATTATTTTCAATTCCTTTTAAACAGCTGTAAACTTTAATATTACCAGCTTATACTCAGCAGTGGTGACCTCATTTAGGGAACGGAGCAAAATTTCTGCCCACTCCTTTTCATTCAGTGGATCCTCTTGTGTACCGATTACATATATATCATGTTCAATGTAATCTGCTGTCTCATCACGTGTCTTTCCCTGACCTTTACATAGGAACCATGATGTGATATCCTTTGGTGGGGGAGCATCACCTGTCACAATAAGTATAAGAAACAACATTTTAGAGCAGGTAGAGGGGATATCTACATTGGTAAAATATAAGTGTTGGACTAACCCATATTCCATGTGCCAGTAAAAATTGTCAACAAGTCCGGCTCTAACTGATCTGAATGCTTATTCTTCATCTGCTGTAGGAGTTGGCAAAACCCTTCTCGCTTCTGTATGGTGGAAAAGAAAACAAACTCAGATAATGGGCAGAATTTGTTGACTTGTTAGCAAATGTGGTCAGTGTTTTTGCTTTGCCAGAAGATGCTCCCAGTGTCCAGCCTTTGCTTCTAACAAAAAAAAAAATGCTGTTTATGAATATGAATATTGGGGCTTAAAGGAGAACTATAGGGTTAAGGCTTTTCCCCATAGTTCTCCTTAGGGTAACAGGAGGACACAAACTAGCGTCCTCCCGTCACCCTAGGCTCAGTATACCGCGAGCTACTGCTCGCGGTATACTGAGGCGCCACAGTATACCGCAGGCTGCTGCGGTATACTGGCAGAGAAGCTGTACCCGCCCCCTCCCCCGTCCGTTCCGCCAGTCAGCGCTGGCGGATTGGAGCGGGGAATCCAGCCCCTACCCTGTCATGGCAGAGAGCCGTGACAGGATCGAGAGGTGAGCGAACGCCGGTATGTGTTCGATCACCTCCCGATCTACTGAGCCGACCTGTGACAGTTTCATTGTCAATACACCAAAAAGAAGGAAAAATAAGGAGGAAAGCGAGACAAAGGGATTGGGTTCTGAATGAAAGACAGTTGGAAGGTATGCCTAGGTCGGCTAGAACTATGAGGTGAGTGAAAAGCACTCACCTCATACTTCTCCTTTAAATTATTATAATTGTGAAGACCTGTTTATGAAAAAATATATATTTGCCCTTCTTTTAGCTTTACATGCTTGTGTATGTCTTATACTTCAGCTTGACTTGCAAAGTGATTAAGGGTGCATAAAGTCTGACAATTGCTGCACTTTGAACTGGTTAACCTCACACATTGTTTTGCAACTCTATAGAATAGTGCATAAAAATTGCAGGTAACATAGCCTTCTGTAGATTAGCTTTCCCCGGCATAATGCCCAGCAGTGTGAATCGTATTCCCCTTTGGATCCAGGAGACCTCAGCAGTGCAAACTCCTAGTTCTAAGAGCATCACTGATAGCGTTGGTCTCTGAAATTGCATTTTTACAAAACATTTTAACCATTTAACAGTTATAATAAAAACATAAGAAGGACATTTATTAAACAATATCAGCATGCAAAATGAAAGCCTAATATGACCTTAAAAAAAGTTGTTGTTAAAATCATTTAAGCAGGCAAATTAGTCATAAAGTTAAACCACATATACTGGTGCTGCTATATGTATTTGGTCTGAACATCATCTTTAATGACCTCTGATCATGAAAGGGTTTTTTTTATTAGATAATTTGAGCCAATGATAAAAAAAATACAAGTGTGAATTAGGAGCTGCAAGACCTCCATCTGCCGCTGTATATTGCAGAGTTTGAATTTTAATACCTGACTGCCAATACAAATAACATCCCTAAATATTGAATGTTTTCAATTAAAACAGCATCCAGCAATCCAGACTGGGGAATTATGCAGAATGTATAATAACTGAGGTTGCCAGATTTTGTGAATTTACTTTTCACAATACAAATATTTGTAGCTTGCTCAAGGTCCTGCCCTTTTCTTTGAATTTTAAAAATTCAAACCCTGTGGTATTTGAAGGTGTCTACAATTGTAATTTGCTTTCACACCATCTAAAGACAAGGTGATTCTGTTGCTTGTATCTTCTGTAAGAACTTGCATGTTCACACAGACATGTAGCTGACAAAATGATGTACCTTGGAATCAGCAAAAAGATATTCTTTGCGCAATGTCTTTTCCTTCTCCGTCTCCAGGACAATGATTAATTTATTTGGCAACTTCTGTGACTTGATCAGCTGCAGAACTAGCAATAAGCAAATCATATGCTGTTAGAAAAGTCTGGGTGTGATGGGTAAAAAGTGTTGTTATATACAGTACATATCCAAAATGCATATTTCAAACTGTGACATCAAAAGTTCTCTTTGTGTACATGAGACTAATTAATTCAAAAGTCACAGTGACTCGTACAGGTATGTACATTAGGTAATACAAGTCCAGCTAAAATATTGTTTGATCTATAATGCACTAGTTCTCCTTTAAGGCATACCTTCCCACTGTCCTTGATTCAGAACCCAATCCCTCTGTCTCGTTTTCCTCCTTATTTTTCCTTCTTTTTGGTCTAATGTATGTCTATGAAAATATTCTATTTAAAGTGACACTAAACTCAGGAGTTAAATCTTAAAAATGCATTCAAGTACCTTAACTATTAACAGTTCTGTACCTTATTTGTGTATCACTAAATGTGAGATTGTAGTCCATCACAGGAGTGAGCTTGGAGCGGTGGCTACTTTACAACATAAGATACATTTTTGTCATTAGTTAAGCTACTGGAATGCATTTTTAAGATTTAACTCCTGAGTTTAGTGTCATTAATTACCAAAATTGTTCTTCTGCACTAAAACCTTTATCTTATCTCCTAACCATCTTTTTTTCTTGCTATTTTGAAAAGCCAATATTAGGGAAAAGTAATGGTGAAAAAAACAATTCTGGGTTTAACCAATCATTTATAGCATATAAATTCCTAATGGTTTGCATAACTAGGGGCCTGGCAGGTTTGTGTATATTGCCTACATACATTGTGCTACAAGGTGTCCCTATTTTGCATCTGAGTAAGTTGGGAGGTAGGTTAAAAGTATCATAATAGCATTCCTATAACTGTGGGAGATTCATCTTCTATGTTCAAGATGTCCATAGATAATACCATTACTTGAGTGTCAATATCTGCAGGATGAGGAAACTGTTGGAATGTCTAGGGACACTTTAAGACCTAGGTAGACACCCTTTGGTGATTATACTCAGTGGAAACGTTAATAATCCAGTCTGGATATACCTAACTGAATAATGTGTTTATTTGATATCTGCCTATAACTCAGCTTGTACTTTCATCATTATCTAACTGATACAGAATATAGATTTCACCCGTATGCACCATAAACATACTTTTCTTGCTGGAATAATATTTGTCATCTGGACCATCTTTTGACTTCTTGATTACAAGTTTTCCAGTTTCGACATCAACTTTCAGGTGAGTCTTCTGGAAAATTCCTAAAGAATCTGCTTTAACCTATAATAAAAGTGTACCAGTATCAGCTAATACTCAAAAAAAAGGTTCAATCATTTTTGTAATACGTAAACAAAACTAGCAAAAGTGTGTCTATTCCAGAATGCGCAAGGATGGGGATGGGGGTGTTAGTATGATGGCAGCTGCGATAATGGCAGTTAAGGAGGAGGGTATGCAGGCGCATTGGTTATGATGGTGAGGTGTTGCTGGCTAAGCGGTGAGAGGGTGGGTGGAGGGGTTTCGGCTAGCACATTGTTGAGTGGGGGCATGGGGTTGGGCTGCCTTAGTGTGTGTGGGGAAATGAGGGAAAGTAAATTTAATATGGAGAAATGTTTGTCCCCTTACCACCTATGACTGGGGCATACACAGTTCATGCCACATGTCTTCTCCAAAATAGTGAATGCGCCAAAATAGCGCATACTTGGTATCAATCCCATAATGGGAATTACCTGCTGCTACTGAGCATACATAAATATTGACAGATTTTGGAGAAGACTGAATAGTGTGAACCACATATGTGTGGAATATACGCCATTTTTTAATAAACCCACTTCACCTAAAGTTGGGTATACACGGTTATATGTTCTTCATTCAACCTGCGGGCTGAACGAAGAATATGTAACAGATTTCTCCATCTATGCTGAACAGCATGGATGGAGGAATCCCTTGCTGTGAGCATTGTATTCTGAGAGTGGTCGCTGGCAGAATATCTGAACGGTGTTTGCAGCTGACAAGCTGCAAGCAGAGTTTGGCTGAAGATTTTTCAACATGTTCCTTCAGCAAAAGTTGATCTAATGATCGACTTCAGCCGATGGAATAGGGTCACCAACACAGTGAATTTCGGCAAATCTGCTCCGTGTGTACCCTACTTTAGTCAGAAGGCATGGGGAGCTTGGAAGCCCATGTGTGGTATTGGCACCATCTTGGGGTGGACTGGTATTCAGCATGTGTTACCGCACATGTCAAAGCTTGGCTGAATAATTGGCTCTAACATGTTGTTAACATTACCTCAAAAATGATTGGAGGGATTAGTGATCTGCGATGCTTCACTGCGGAGCCTTCCATCAACACTGTTTTAACCTGCAATATACAGTAGTTAGAGTTTATAGTCCCTCTGTTGTAAGCATTATGATCATTTACTTTAAAGCCCAACGCCAAACAAAACTTTTTTTTAGTGTTGGATGGAAAGGAAGGAAGAGTAAATACTTCTGTCAAGTTTCTATTGCTGTTCACTACCATAGTTTCACCTCACATCCTGTCCCTATAATAGTAGAACAAGAAATGAGGGAGTGGTTGTCACTTAAAAAAGGAAAAAAAGACACAGACAGTAATAATAACCTGAGATATAAGAAGACTTCGGAGTTCACTCTGAATTTCCTTCATTGCAGACGAGGGACTCAGGAAGTAATAAAAAAAATAAAAAATAGGCATTTTCAAGAGGTTTTAGCAGCCCCTACACTTCCTATATGACAGGATAAGGGCATAGGAAACTCTGGGGAACTGTCCTTCTGCTTACTTCACTGACTATAATCCCTACTACTAATCGCTACTACTAGTTACTTGTAAAATATAACGTTTAATATGGTATTGTAAGACAAAGTAACAGGTTCACTTGATAGGGAACCCCCATCCCCACCCACTGATACCTACTTCCCCCGCGATCCCTTCATTTATCTTTTAGAGCCCTGAGTCTAACCCCATATAAGCTCTAGTACTTTGTATTGTATAAAGTTTTTCTGTGAGTCCCCATTCACACATGAACATTTTGTAACTCAAATGCCTAAGCGCGACAACACCAACAGGAGGAATGTTATTGTTATACATCTGAGTGTTCTGTAATTTGTAGCAAAATGCTTGTAGCTCAGAAAACTAAATGAACTTCTTTAGGCGTCGAGTTGAACAACAACCTGGGGCACTCTGGTCGGAAAGTGACCATATGAGATGCTGCCTGCGGCAAACACTTCAGCATCCTTCCTTTTCTCTTTCTGAATACTGAAGGGTTATTATTATCACATCTGTCAAGGATGCTAGAAATATTAGACTTTCATTACATGGTATGTGATACTGTATATTCTGCCTAAGAGTTCATTTTGCAGAAAGCGTTCATATTATACTGAAAATTACAAGATAAAATAACCAGTTCAGCTCTAAAGAGCAGAGTTCTTCTTTAAAGAGAACTTGTTGCTTGCTTTCAGTTATGAACCCTTTTTTTAATTTAGGAAAAATAATACATACTTGTGCCCCCACTTTTTCTTATTATTCTTTACTTCTTTATTTATTCTTTTTTATATTATTATTATTATTGTACTTCCAGATATCAGAGCTGTACAGTTATCAAGAATCTTAAGCTTGGTATATACGGTTAGAATTGTTTTCAAAATAATTAATGTTTAGAACGACCCTTTAACATCCTCATAGTTAATGGGGTCGCATTGACAATCATTTCGACCGTAGCAATGAAACAAAATAGATGGACAGTTTTTCTCGAACAAACGAAATTCGGACATTTGGAAAACTACATTCATTCCAAAATCAAATGTTAAAATCGAAAAAAAAAAAAAAAAAGAATGATCTTCATCAGGTCTCTGATGGAATTATTGAATGTTCTGACTGGACTTTTGGTGTGAACGTTCGTACAAAAATCTACCAGTGTTTGACCAGCTTAACACTTCCTGGAGTGTCAAATCCTACTGTTCCAAGTCCCCCTTCACACTACAGTCACTATGTCATTATCATATTAGAATTGCCCCCAGCTAAGCTTCCCAGTGGGGTTGACAGCAGCTTTATTGAGTCACTTCTGTGGCCCTCAGAGCCCTGATAAGTGGCTGTAATAAGCTTCCCAGAACCTCCAACGCCAGGAATCTTCTCCAAATGTATCTTTATTTCATAAAAGCAACACCTGCTTACAAGTTGCAGCACGACTGGGCCTAATCCCGCACAAAATCCCTAGCTTCCTGATCTAGATAAATGACCATTTAACTCTCCAGCTGACAAGGCTGTGACTCACAGAGGGACCCTGCTTGCAGACAGATAGCAGGCGGCAGATAGTAGAATCCGACACTCCTATAAGTATCAGATTCCTGTTAACTTTGTACTGTCCAGGGAAGAAATTCCCTACTATCCCTATCTTTTGCTGATACGATACTGAGATAGCCCATAGCGCTTTTCGGCTATTTGAGTCTACCTTGAAGTAGACACATCAGAGATGCACACCCCCCCCACGAATGCCCACTTTGCTGCAACAAAATGACAGTTGACGAGTTAATATGAAGAGGTGGCTAAAGGTGATATTGACGATGTTTACATGGCGCTGTATATGTGACAAGCTAAAAAGTTATGATGAAGCATTTATGGATCTAGATTAATATGTTGTGAACGTCCCCACTTTATGAGTGTCATGTCTATGTATGAGGGAGGTTCTGATTACAGTTACACTATGATACGGGCGGTAACCCGCCCTTACTGTATGGAAATTCTTTTGTGTTGTTCACCAATAAAGAATTTGAAAAAAAACTTTGTACTGTTAACTGGAAGTAAGAGGAGCAGATAAGAAAACAAATTAGGGAACAAGTATACCTTATTTTTACTAAATTGAAAGGAGAGTTTATATTCAAAAGTTAAAATTGATGACAGGGTCTCTTTAGGTCAAAGACACTTGCTATTTACAAATAAACAATTGATGGGAAAAATTAATACTGTTTTTTAATAAATAAACGCCTAATTTGAAGAATGACATATCTTATTTTACTAAAGTGCAGCAATATTTATTCAAGACAATTAAAAAAAGAAATGGACAATGTTAAAGCAGAAATCCATTAATGGATTTTTTACAATTTTGGATAGAGTGGGGAAAAGATTTGTACTAGTCTAGTTCTTTACTCTTTTTGACTCCACCAATGAGATGCCCCCCCTATCTTTGGTCCTGTTGGGACAGCCAAGGCTCTGTCGTGAACAGAATGTCCTGGTTCCCATCTCAGGAATACAGTCACTATCATATGTTACTATGAGGAATTAACTAGGGGGCTAGTGACACTAAAATGGTGAGTGGATGAGTAATCAGGTCAGTCAGCACTCATCAGAAACTTGCCAGTCATCGTAACCAGAAATGGGGAAATTGTCATTGCCAAGGTCACAGACAGTAAGAAAGACTTGATGGGACATCAAACCCTTTCACTCTTTATCCTAAATTCAAGTCGAGCTTCAGAATTGAGTTCTACTTTAAGAAAACACACAATTTATTAAAGACAATTAATCCCTGTTCACAGGGAATATCTTATTATCCCACCTTTTCTTCTAAGCTGGAAACCATAGAAGTGAGCTGGTTGAGTTTACTCATCATGTTACTTGTGCCGGGGTCAGTGGATAGCTACAAAAGACCAGGTACAGAAAATTAGGTGCACATGAAAAATATCACGATCAATAGTCATGCTTCTGTTTTGTTAAGGGCTGTAAGCATTCAGGATTAGTAATGATATTAAAGTATATGTCCATACATTACCTAAATTTAACAAAGAAATATAGAAGATTGACATCAGAAAAAGACCAAGTGGTCCATCAAATCTATCCATTATTTTATTTTTTAGGGTTTTTTTCAAACTTTCTCTCTGAGTATAGATCTATATTTACCCCAAAACCTCCCTCTCTCCCTCTAGGCCATCACCCAGCTTTATTTTTTCCTTTACTTTGTTCCTGTAGAAAGAAACAGTTTTTTTTTGTATTACTCTCTGTGAAGTAATCACCAGGCTTGTAAAATTCTGATAGGGACAGCTGCTGGGAGATCAGTTCCTATTGACATAGGCACGCCCCCAGAGCTACATCTATTAAGATATGTTTCCCTATACATAGTGTGTGAGCAAGCTCTTGGGACTCTGGCAAATAAATCAATATACACACATGGAGAGGAGTGGAGAATAGGTTGAGTTCTGTAATCCAGTACACAGGGCCGACAGCATTGTTTGGGATTTCAGAGCAGGAAAAGCACTGTGTTGACAGAGGAGGAGCACACTGGTTTTCTGGCAGATCAACAAGTATTTGCATCTACAATACCTGTGGCATTTTTAAAACATGGGGGAAATGCACGCATTTGAGAGATGTAATTTTTCACAGTTACAGTGTCTTTGGAAAAGCACCCCAACCCTGTATACTAACCTTACTAATGATCCCCACCTCTCCTTCCTCCTCTGCAGCCAGCATTAGAATGAGCTGCAACCCAGGGAAGTAAGAACTCTAAACCCTTGGAACAAAAGTAGTCACTCCCCCAGAAGGAAGGACAGTGTCAGCACCAATTCAGAGATGATTTGAGGATCTACAGCCGAGTGATGCACAAATGAGATATATTTTTGTTAATAGTTAAGGTACTTGGATGCATTTTTAAGATTTAACTCCCGAGTTAAGTTGCAATTTAATATACGATTTGAATATACAATTCATTACATCTGTCCAAGAAGTGCAAAAAATACTTGTTGGTCATGTCAGAAATTCAGGGCCGTCCTATGTCTTGTGCACATTTGTTATGCAATCTTAATGGGAGTAATTAACCCTCCTAGTTCTAATCTTGGGGCTACAAAATGATTAGTGCATATGTTTTGTTGATGAAAGAGTAGGTGAATTTAGGTAGTTTAGCAAAAGCAAACTGGGCAGGGCTGACACCACTCAGTTCATAACAATGCTGTGTGTTGTCAGCTCACAACACTACTTGGGAGCAAAGTGGATTTTTGGCTGATCAATGGGTATTTTTCTGTACATGCAAGGTATTTAACGTGTATTTCCACTTTTGCAGCCAAATTAGGATACCACCTACTTTATATTTGTTACATGTTTCCCATTCACATAGCATAACTTTTTTTTAAATTGATGCTCTCACTATACATGCTCTGTTTTGAACAATAACCTTAAAGTCCATTTCCACCTTTGTAAGTGATTAGTATTTATTGTGGTAAAGTAGAGGTGCAGTGATGATATATACATGTGCACAGTTTCATGACACACCGCTGGCTTTCTTCATTTTTATGAAGTGTTTATTAGGCCTGAATCCTACAAATTCAAAATATTCTCCACAGGAAGCTCAGTCTGAGACCGGGGTCGGATTGTAAAGCAGGCTTCCCTGCTCCCTGTGATTCTGCGTAACACCATAGTAAACACTAGCTCTGCCTATGCACACAATACACTGTCTAGGGGGGGTTGCCACTATGAGTAACAAATAATTCCATGGGAATAGATAGAGGAAAGCTAATTAAAAATGTAAGTTTCTGTGTTCATATACAGCAACTGCATATGCCTGCTTCATGTACACCAGGTGTACATTGCTGGAATATGTTTTTTTTTTAAACTACCTCTGCAAAGGTGGAAATGGGCTTTAAATTGATGACTTTTAGTCTGCTAAAACAATTATATCATAAATGATGGCCATGTTTTTTCATAAAATACTTTTTTTTGTAACCTTTGTTCAGCCTTTTTTTTATGTTGGTGCATCTTAGTACTGCTAATTCCCTGCTCTTCCTGCCTACATGCACTCTCTCCAGCAATGGCTGCACATCATTGTTCTAAGACACCTTCTTGATAGTGACAACAGTGGACATGTGACAGAATGACAACGCAGAAGCACAGGTCAGGAGACAGTCATCCTGTAACAGGAAGTGCCTAAACTAGGGTCTAATAGATCATCAGGTATTATTTCAATGAAAGCTGTAGATTAAAAAAAAAAATTAAAACAACCTTTTAAAATTACATTACATTTAATGCCATATCTTTACAAAAAGATATGAGATTTTAGTGCTTGAAACTAGCTTTAACAAATAATTTTTGTCCTCAAGTTACAGCCATCATAATGGAAACAATTGTGTAACGAGACTGCATACCGCCACCCTGTCTATGAATATCTCAACACAATGCACACACTAATACAAAATCTACCAAAATATCTCAACAGAATGTACACACTAATACAACATTTAGCAAAATTGAATATAAGGAGAACAAGTTCATTCTGTGAAAGAGAGACAAGCTCTCAAGGCAACGAAGATGTCAAAGTCAAAAGATGATTGGCATATTTAGCAAAGTAAAACAAAACATGATTGTAGAAACAGGAAAGGGAAAGTTATAATACAACTGTAAGGAAAGAATAAAAGAGAGATGGAGAAGGTGTGACTTTTAATAGCGCTGGTGGGACCTGGACAACATACATGCAGTAGGTTGTGCTAGGGGTACACATCTGGCCAAAAGGTTGGGAACACTGCACCAAACAAGGTATAACATAGCCATAGCAGATCATGGGATTGCTTTGTGACCCAGTAACACAGATGGCCCAATTCACTATGGTTGCATAATGACTTGCTCAGCCAGCCAAATCAAGTGTTGCTAAAATATGTGCATATGAATGATTTGCGCACATCTATCTAGCTAGGAATACAATTAGTATGTCTCAGTGTTACTGGTCTTAAATGGCAGCAGTAGTGGGATTTTCATTAATTAGCATGTCCCCATCACATATGTATAGTCACACCCCAGATTACCTTGGCCCTGTTTGTCTTTATATTGTGGTAAAGCTTACATGGAAATAAGTAATGATTTGATCTTGGACAGACCAGGCAAGCCTATGTTTATTACTAGTGTCACTGTTATAATTTCACAACTTACAGGAGATCGTTGGCGGAATCCTGGAGAGAACTGGGGTTCAAATGTGCTCTGCAGAGACTCCAGGGCTGGCAGAGTGCGGGTCAACTCACTAAGGAACAACAAATATATTAGAGAAAATGATTTGCAGAACTACTCATTAAGCATCTGTGCTCTCCCTGATGTACATAGGAACACCCCTAATGCAACCCAACTGGGCCATGTACAGTAAATTACCATATATACATTAGCCTTGTGTGTTGCTGCACAGCGCACAAAGCGTTGAGACCGTAACAACCAATCAGACTTCACTTAGCCCTAATTATGTATGGAAAGACAAGAAAGTTGGTATGGTTGGTGCTATGGGCTGTTATTCATTGTACAGTCATTGCATGTTATGTTATGTTATGCTATGAAATAAGTCTATGAATAAAAAGTTCCAAGGATGAGACCAATTTGAGCATTACTTACATAAGTCAGGTCGTGTATGGAGCAGAGCACAACCAATGGCATTTTGGGAAACTCTTCTGGCAGATGTCTGATCACTGACATTTCCATGCAAAAACTGAAGTCTTTAACTGCATGCATTTACGTGTGCGGCAATCAGCGCCTGAGCTGGTCATCAGTGCAAGCCAATTTAAGGATAAGCAGGTCACACACTCACCTACAAGATCTGCCCCTCTATGACTGTCCTTAGGTAAATTAACATTCAGCATAGAGCTACAGCTTCCAGCTAATTAGTATGCTGTTGCCCTGCAATAGTAAAAATCCAGGCTTGTAACTTAAGGGTGGACAGTCTGCTAAGGCACAGACAAGAAACGGTGCCCTGTGGGCACAATAAAATGTTGATGGGAATGAATGAACGAGGGAAAAATAACCCCAACAAATTACAATGTCAGTGTTGTTTGTTATATAACTGGCACCAGGGGATGCAATGTGCCTGTTTGCAGTGGGTGTAAATCTCAATAACTATACATTTGATGTCAGTGCTGTCTCTGCAAATAGATCGGAAAGCAGAAAAAAGGGGGTAGGGCATGGTGAAAAATGGGCACGTCTTCAGACTTGAAAGGTAAATGTAAAATGATGTCATTCTGTGCCTTGAACCTGGCTACATGCCTACAGAAATTCTGATGACAGTATGATCTGACATGATGACGACTTATTAAAAACTCATAAAATAATCCTACATAAAGCGCAGTCTCTGAATATGTTGCATTAAGATTAATACAAAGGCAATGAAAACATGCATCTGTGTATGAGACAGATTTTACAATGAAAAGCAACATGGTGAGGTTATGGCCCAAAAGATACAGAAGGAGAAGAGATGCAGCACTTCCCCTTACCTCCGACTGCTAGCACTCAACTCCTCACCCCCTCCTCTCCATACCTTTCTTTTGTGCTGTGATGCTTGGCTGTCTTCCCTCTGCATTCAGTACAGTAGGAGGGAGGGGACAGCAGGGAAGCTTTCCCCGAAGCAGAGGGAAGATTTTATTTGCAAGGAAAATATGCTTACACATAGGCGAGAGTTGTCTTTTCCATAGCTGTGCATTGCACTCAGGAACAAGCAGCAAAACAGTCACTGTTCTGAGAATGTTCTCCTCCATCTGTCTTCTACAGTGACTAAAGCAGCCACTGAAGGGCGAGTCTGTCCCAGATGTGCATAGACCGAGGGGAGGAGGCTGCATCACTCTTCCCTTTATTACACAAAACCGTACTGTACATTGGGGTTAAATAGTTACAACGATAATTATAGCAATGTTTTGTCCTTTTAACAATCAAACTGTTCCTTAGAACTTGTAACTAATGAGAAAAAGTAGAATCAAAACAGTACAAGAAAAGAAAATGAATTGTGCCTTTTTACTACTCGTGTGTAGTCCTTGAGCCTTTGTCCCAACAACTGGTTCACTGATTGGGCACCAGCAAATTAGTGAAGTCAGACTACTAAGAGATCGATTCTGATTGGTATTTTTTTGATTTGGTGACCTTTGCACTTTGTATTAAATAAAGCCCATTATATCCCCTTCATTCAAACTTATTTTCTGTGGTACAATAAAGTAACAAAATATCCCATTGTTGCTAGTGGTAATATTTTAATATTCCTAGAATCAAGTCACTTAACGGCATACACTGTATACTACAAAACATGATGGTTGACATCCTCTTTACTCAGAGGGAAAGGTAATGTATGACCTTCTCTGCTAAAACTGTACAAATAGATCTCCTTAGAGGGATACATAAAGTCATAACACCACTTTTATACCCCCCCCCCCTGTGTCCTACAGCTAATTCCTGACTAGCTGACAGTGCTTGCCCTCTTCCATTCTGAATACACTTGTGCAAGGGCCTATAGGAAACTGGTATAAAGAAGGACTGAGGGACTCGATCAAAAAACTGTAATAAAAAAATGTCCATTTGTTTGCACATTATGGCATGAAGTAGTGTTTTTATTTCTGCCTAGAGTTCAGCTTTCGGTGGCAATATAAAAAGTCAACAAGAACAAAAAAGAAAACGTACAAAAAGACATATATATTCACTAAGGCCTCATTCACACAGACAACAGCCTTCACCACCCTCTGAAACACAATCCATGGTGATCGCTTTTCAGAGGGCAGTGGAGCAGCAGCTGCTTGGGGAGGAGATACTGCTGCCTCCAGAATGCAGTTTTTTTTAAATTCCAATGGGAATTTTCTATTGCAAAATTGCACCAGTTCCATTTATTCCAATGGTCGCATATGGCGAGTAGCACCCCCTGCCAAACACGACATGCTGTATATTTTCTTCTGTGCCGCATTATGGCAATGTATACAGCACTGTTCTGCGCAGTGCAAACATTGCAGCAGGTGACCAGGAGGGGGTGTAAAACTGCAGATCTACTGCCTCCTTGCTGCTTGTGTGAATGAGGCCCTAGGGTGGTGCACAATGCCAGACAATCTCCTCTTGATTAGCACCACTAACAGGAAAAAACAAATTAATAATTGAAAGTGTTAACTTTAAAATAAAAATAATGGGGTCTATTCACAAAGCTGCTGAAGGATCTAGCCGTAGCTTCGGCCCCAGGACCCCTTCGGTTCAGTAGAACCGAAGGGCTGCTGTACGGGCTATTCACTATAGCCCGTGCAGCTCCCGAAGTTGGCCAAGCGGCTCAGTCGAGCCGAAGGCATATGCCTCGGCTCGACTGAGCCGAGGTGAAAGCCGAAGCTGGCCGGCCGACAGGCTGCTACTGACAGCTGGGTGGAGCTGTCAGTAGCAGACTGTCCCTCCGGCCACTTGCAGAGACAGATCCGCATCCCTGGTTACCAGGTACCCAGGGACGCTGATCTGTCATTAGTCTCCCGGACGCTCCTGGAGTCTCCCGCTATTAGATAGCAGCTCCCGGGAGAGAAACACTTGATCGGGCAGAGTAAACCTTTAACTGCTCTGTTTTTGTTTTTGTTTCTTCTGACATCGGAGCCGCCGGCCGCCGTCAGTAAGAAAAAAAAACAGCATAGGAATGCATAGCTACATTCCTATTGGCTATTTCACTTTGCAATAGCAAACTAGCTATTGCACCCGCCCACTGCTGCTGTCAATCAGCAGAGGGGACCTGAAGTTCTCCATCAGGTCCTCTTTTTGTGATTGACAGCAGCAGAGGGTGGGTGCAATAGTCAGCTTGCTATTGGATATTGCAAATTGAAATAGCCAATAGGAATCTAGCTATGCATAACTAAGCTGATTTTTTATTATTCTGACGGCAGCAGTTGTCAGAATACAAAAAAAAACAACATCTTGCTGATAGCAAAGATGCTATTGCTTCCTCTGCTATCTGCCATAATTTCAGGGGGGTGCTCTCTCCCCCCTGCATTACAAAGAGAGCTTAGCAGAGTTGGAGGTGATATGAAAGCCAACTCTGCTGAGCTCTCATGGTACTGACAGCAGAGCCACCGCCGGCTCCAACAAGCTCCCATTGTAATGACAGCTGGTCCCGGTCAATAGAAAACAGTTGGGCGGAGCTAGCTGTCACTGCTAGCTCTGCCCAATCATTTTCTATATTTGTTTTCTACTATTTTTAAACTGTTTTTCTATTCTGCTCGGTACCACAGAGGTACCGAGCAGCTGAATGCCGCTCAGCTATGAGAATAGGCCGAACAGCAGCAAGTAGTCTGCCGGAGGTTCGGCTCAGCCCATCCAGATATTTAATCAGCTGAGTCGAACTCCTTCTGCACTTTGGGTCGGCCGAACATGCTGAGCATGTTCGGTCGACCCGAACCCAGCCGAAGCCAGCCGATATACGGATGAAATCAGCCGTACAAGCCTGAAGTAAATAGCCAAACAGCGTTCGGCTCACTTCGCTTCGGGTCGCTTATTCACTCGGCTGCCTATGGCAGGTTTGTGAATAGACCCGAATATGTTTATAACATTTACAACTATTCAAAATAAGTCCTCTAAATGGAGATAATCCAATCAATGTTAGATGTAATCAGATTTTGTTTCATATGCCAAAATACAAATATATAACAGTAATTGCACAAAGATTTATATTTTGGTTGGATTATCACTTAGAGGGAATATTTACAATTTTTGTAAATGCTAATTGGGAGTGGATATCCTTTCAATGTTTGCAGAAAATAGACACCCACGCCTTTTCCCTCGCTCTTTTATATAATGTAATATTCATAAAAACCCCAAATATTCTAAAACCGAGGAATGTAGTTTTAGTAGACTCACATGTACTTCTATTAAAACCTACGATAGATCTCTCCCTGAAATGTGAAAAGCAAGAACAGTTTTTGCTTCATGAAATGCTGTCCTGAGTGTGTTCAGTAACACTTGCATCCCATTACCTGTACAGCCCGGTACAAAGAGTCATCAGAAGCTTCTTGAGCTGTGGGAGGCTCTGAGATCCATTCCGCACCATCTCACAGTCGCTGGTCATGTGGAGACTCAAGTACTTGCGAATGGCCTGTAAGTGCTCTTCTGAAACGCTGCAACACAATAATGAGGAAATAAATAGTGAATAGAGAATAAAGAGGTTCCTTTCAGTAAAGAAAGGTTAGAAAAATTAAAAGATTATCAATATTGTGTTGCTATGGGCTATTGCATTTTGTAGGCTGATTTTTACAAACACGTATCTTAATTATCATGCGCATTTTAACTTGCCTCTTTATTATAAGAGAACAGCCCCATTTTACATTATGGGCTCATGCACAAGGGCGTAAATAAAGGCGTATGGGCGTAGAGTGTAAAATACGCCTGTAGTTGCAGCGCCTGGGAGCCCCAGCTTTATGTGCCCATAGGAATGTATTGACAGAATATGCTCTACATGGGTATACACGTGTACATGCCAGTACTTGCATTTACACGCATTTGCGTATGGATGTATATTCCCGAATGTGAATTACAAATGTTAATACATTCCTATAAGCACAATAATGCAGCAGCTGGGACTCCTGGTTCATGCAAATACAGATGTATATTATACTGTACACACCATACGCCTGTATTTATGTCAATATGCATGAGCCCTAAAACAATTTAAAATACTAAAAAGTCACCCGTCTATGATCAGAGGAAGCAATGGCAGCTCTAGGAACAATATATATATATAGGGAGCACATAAGATACCACAGTCAAAACTGGGGGGGCACTAATAATTTTCACCACTAAATCATACCTGTCACTGTCATTAAAATGGGTCTGTCATCCACACCGCACATTACTTTGTTTTGTTGCTGTAGAGCTTTGTGATACACATGATACAGGCACAGTGTGAAGGATGGAGTGCCCCAGACTTAAAGCAGTAGATATATGCAGAACAATTAAAAAAAAAAACTTTTGCAAAGGGTTAATACTTACATGTGTCTCCACGGGGCGCTCCCGTCCAAACATCTGAAAATTTCTTGGGCGTCCGCAAAAGATCTTGGGACGGGCGCATGCGCAGTTCAGATGTTCGACCGGGAGAGGAGGAGAGACACAAGGTAAGTATTTCCTCTGAGGAAGTACTATGGATTCACTCAAGACACAATACAACACAATATAATACAATACAATAATAAGTATTGTTATTTGTTATATATTATATAACTTGTATTTTAACATGGATTTAACAGGTCGACAACAAGCGCTTACTGGGAAATAGAATATCATTTATGGCATTTATGTCATAAATAATATATTTATTGCCGTTCATTCTTGACTTTACCCTGCAGCTCTAGAAATACATGTGATAATAGATAAGACCATGAACATACTGATCCAATAATACTATTAAAAACTCTTTTATTTATATAAGTTTGTTAAAACTACTTATTATGTTTTGTATTAATATTCTGTGCTTTACTCAAATGGATTTGGTGAAT